TAAATAAAACTTTTGTTAGTATATTTTTCTGCTTTTTATTTATGGCCTCTAGACTAGGTTAGGCTATAATAATTTAAACAAAATTCAACGAGAGCATTGTGCACAACATTAGGATAGGCCATCGAATACTATATTGTTAAGCTTTTTTAAGTCGACACTTTCCGTATGGGGAGCAAAAGAAGGAAGGATAAGGTAAAAACAGGTGTGAGATCAGGTGACCATTGACGTACAATCGTAGGGAGTCACACCAACTCATATTGGAGTATCAGCTAGGGGATTCTTATCTTGTCACAAGTCGCTATGGCTCGCTAGCTGTCATTCGATACCTATTTCGATATCGGATGGAGAGTGATTCATATGTATTATTGTCGTATTTCGTATCGACATCAAATAGACGGTGGTATGAAAAACGAGAGAAAAATCGACCTTCAAATTTGAATGATAGATGATAGATTATGTTTATTATTTTATAATTTATTTTTCGCTTCAATTCAAACTATTTTTACTTCTAAAGATTCCTTTCGCGTTGAAAATAATTTCAATTTTTAATTATTATGTTGCAACGAAATCTTAAGGCAGCATCGTCAACAGCAAAACCTTCACTTTAGACGCACGACTCGTAGGGTAGGAGAAACTTAAATTTACATTTTTCTTCTTGTCTCTCAACTCCACACCCCCGTATTCCTTATGTGAGAATGACCGCGTTCACCAGCACTCAACATGTTGAGTGATTAGTCAGCGGCTTTGTTGAAAAAGATGAAATATAACGAAGGATTACATACACAAACGACAAACATAAAACATAAACACAACACATGACACCACAACTTGTCACTTCAAAATAAAAAAGGATAGCCAATCATTCGAACAAAGATCAGCAAATCGAAAAGCCGAAACGGGACCTCTTACTTACGTCAGAGAGTCGATCCGAACTAGCATAAGAATCAGCAATTCGACATCGAATTGGTCTTAAGAATTCCGCAGGATTATAAATGATGGACTGTATACGCATGCAATTTAATTCATTTTACCTACTCATCAATAACTGATAGACTGTGCCTGACTCATCCATATAATATTATAGGTCCTGCAAAATATTAATGAAACCGAACAAACACACTGCATACATAAAACGTCCATTTTATGTCATATTCACGTTCATACGTCCATATGACCTATTCACTGATCTCGAAAATAAATGGATAAACAAAGAACGCTACTAATGCTGCTTATTCACGAGGTCAAAATCTAAACAAAAACAACTGACTGGGACAGCTGTGAGCATGCGCAGTAGATACATGTATTGTGCGTACACAAAATCTGGCCAATGAAAATGAAGGAATTTCGAAACTTAGAACAGTTGTTCGAAAGATAAGACACTGCGCAGGCGTAAGGTTAAAGTGTAAAATACAAACAGGTCACTGTTTATTTATTTAATTCCTCGTGTCTAAGTTTAACTTTGTTCGAATCTCTGTTAATCCTAGTAATTCTAATCATTGGCTTAGAAAATCGTGTGTTTATTTTAGTGGCAGGCAGACGTAATAATTAAAAATTGATAAAAAAATTTCTTGCCTCGACTGGAATTTAAACCCAGGACCCCTGAATTTCCAGTGCAACGCTCTAACCAACTAAGCTACCAGGAGCTGTTTCATTTCTACCTTTTCGAATGTCGATCAAATCTGGAACGCAAAATAAATGGAAAATAGTATAGAAGGACTAACCACACAGCGTTTTTATGCCTAGGGAGTTATCGATACCGTGGGAAAAATCTGGATCGACGATGCATTTGATCTGAAATTTCGGGGTTTGACCCGAACCAAACCCAAATTTTTGGGGAGTTTCCCGGAATTCGACCGCAGCTCCTTATCTCATGCTATCATCCTCAAAACACAGTTATCGTCCCGCCATCGAGCGTCATCTTCGTCGTCGTCTCGTCATAGATCGATTGCAAAAATTGTAGCCGGGGAATCGAGTCCTCAGACCATCACACCAAAATCCAGCACTGTAGACAAGGCACTAGATCCTTGAGTAATTATTGATAAAAAAGGTTTGTAAGTAAAGTCTATACCAAGTCACTTGGACTAGCATAAAAACTAACTAAATCCCGGCATCCATCAGCTTTTTCTTTGTCAAACATGGACAGCGTAATTTCAAAAAACAGTACTAAAATTAATAATCAATAGACAGTATGTCGATCAATCATGATCGGCAATGGCCAATCAGATCTATTGAGTCCACGTTTACTGGTATCGAACGTGTACATGGAGGATGAAGCCAATCAGATAATATACCTATCCATTCTTACTTGTCTGGCTTCCAACGGGTACGAGGATCAATCAGTATAAATTTTGCTATATTTTTCAATATGTGATGCAGTATATTGACCATACGTTTATTTTAGGCTTGGTCCAAGTAACTTCGTATAGACTATAAAACGATCTAACTATACAGGTCCAGAGACAATTATAAGTGTGTAGACAGCTATACAGGTCCAGAGACAGGTCCGATACAGCTTTTCGAGACAGATCTGTCTACACACTTATAATTGTCTCTGGACCTGTATAGTTAGATCGTTTTATAGTCTATACGAAGTTACTTGGACCAAGCCTAAAATAAACGTATGGTCAATATACTGCATCACATATTGAAAAATATAGCAAAATTTATACTGATTGATCCTCGTACCCGTTGGAAGCCAGACAAGTAAGAATGGATAGGTATATTATCTGATTGGCTTCATCCTCCATGTACACGTTCGATACCAGTAAACGTGGACTCAATAGATCTGATTGGCCATTGCCGATCATGATTGATCGACATACTGTCTATTGATTATTAATTTTAGTACTGTTTTTTGAAATTACGCTGTCCATGTTTGACAAAGAAAAAGCTGATGGATGCCGGGATTTAGTTAGTTTTTATGCTAGTCCAAGTGACTTGGTATAGACTTTACTTACAAACCTTTTTTATCAATAATTACTCAAGGATCTAGTGCCTTGTCTACAGTGCTGGATTTTGGTGTGATGGTCTGAGGACTCGATTCCCCGGCTACAATTTTTGCAATCGATCTATGACGAGACGACGACGAAGATGACGCTCGATGGCGGGACGATAACTGTGTTTTGAGGATGATAGCATGAGATAAGGAGCTGCGGTCGAATTCCGGGAAACTCCCCAAAAATTTGGGTTTGGTTCGGGTCAAACCCCGAAATTTCAGATCAAATGCATCGTCGATCCAGATTTTTCCCACGGTATCGATAACTCCCTAGGCATAAAAACGCTGTGTGGTTAGTCCTTCTATACTATTTTCCATTTATTTTGCGTTCCAGATTTGATCGACATTCGAAAAGGTAGAAATGAAACAGCTCCTGGTAGCTTAGTTGGTTAGAGCGTTGCACTGGAAATTCAGGGGTCCTGGGTTTAAATTCCAGTCGAGGCAAGAAATTTTTTTATCAATTTTTAATTATTACGTCTGCCTGCCACTAAAATAAACACACGATTTTCTAAGCCAATGATTAGAATTACTAGGATTAACAGAGATTCGAACAAAGTTAAACTTAGACACGAGGAATTAAATAAATAAACAGTGACCTGTTTGTATTTTACACTTTAACCTTACGCCTGCGCAGTGTCTTATCTTTCGAACAACTATTCTAAGTTTCGAAATTCCTTCATTTTCATTGGCCAGATTTTGTGTACGCACAATACATGTATCTACTGCGCATGCTCACAGCTGTCCCAGTCAGTTGTTTTTGTTTAGATTTTGACCTCGTGAATAAGCAGCATTAGTAGCGTTCTTTGTTTATCCATTTATTTTCGAGATCAGTGAATAGGTCATATGGACGTATGAACGTGAATATGACATAAAATGGACGTTTTATGTATGCAGTGTGTTTGTTCGGTTTCATTAATATTTTGCAGGACCTATAATATTATATGGATGAGTCAGGCACAGTCTATCAGTTATTGATGAGTAGGTAAAATGAATTAAATTGCATGCGTATACAGTCCATCATTTATAATCCTGCGGAATTCTTAAGACCAATTCGATGTCGAATTGCTGATTCTTATGCTAGTTCGGATCGACTCTCTGACGTAAGTAAGAGGTCCCGTTTCGGCTTTTCGATTTGCTGATCTTTGTTCGAATGATTGGCTATCCTTTTTTATTTTGAAGTGACAAGTTGTGGTGTCATGTGTTGTGTTTATGTTTTATGTTTGTCGTTTGTGTATGTAATCCTTCGTTATATTTCATCTTTTTCAACAAAGCCGCTGACTAATCACTCAACATGTTGAGTGCTGGTGAACGCGGTCATTCTCACATAAGGAATACGGGGGTGTGGAGTTGAGAGACAAGAAGAAAAATGTAAATTTAAGTTTCTCCTACCCTACGAGTCGTGCGTCTAAAGTGAAGGTTTTGCTGTTGACGATGCTGCCTTAAGATTTCGTTGCAACATAATAATTAAAAATTGAAATTATTTTCAACGCGAAAGGAATCTTTAGAAGTAAAAATAGTTTGAATTGAAGCGAAAAATAAATTATAAAATAATAAACATAATCTATCATCTATCATTCAAATTTGAAGGTCGATTTTTCTCTCGTTTTTCATACCACCGTCTATTTGATGTCGATACGAAATACGACAATAATACATATGAATCACTCTCCATCCGATATCGAAATAGGTATCGAATGACAGCTAGCGAGCCATAGCGACTTGTGACAAGATAAGAATCCCCTAGCTGATACTCCAATATGAGTTGGTGTGACTCCCTACGATTGTACGTCAATGGTCACCTGATCTCACACCTGTTTTTACCTTATCCTTCCTTCTTTTGCTCCCCATACGGAAAGTGTCGACTTAAAAAAGCTTAACAATATAGTATTCGATGGCCTATCCTAATGTTGTGCACAATGCTCTCGTTGAATTTTGTTTAAATTATTATAGCCTAACCTAGTCTAGAGGCCATAAATAAAAAGCAGAAAAATATACTAACAAAAGTTTTATTTAACAGAAAATTTACTAGTACAACTTCATAATTTAGGTTCTATGTTCGGGTTTTGCAAAATAATGGGATGGTATCCTTTTTTGTTCAACAAATTGTGAAAATTCGCAAGGCAAACAAAGTCGATTGGGTATATCAGTTTCACCCTTACATCTGGGGCATGCATACTTAATGGGCATTGTAAACAGTATCAAGTCTATCAACGTAATGCTTCATTTCAATGAGAAAGTCTCCTGTTATACAAGTTTGAAGTTTGATAATTATTACTAATGCGGCATGTTTCGAATAGACTCCTGTGATAACACTTGGTACTTTGGGAGACTTGGGTAGCATTCGAATACTAGCTATTTTGAATCCTATTCGAATCCTGTATTGGAATCCTACGGAAAGAGACCCGACGTCGGTTGAATCAGAAGAAAGTATAGTGCAACTTTGTGCTCATTATTATGCTGCTTTGATATTTCAAAAATTCCGAGTGCTGTCCAGAGATATCAGGAAAACCTCGAAATTCGCCAGAAATGATTTTATTTTTCCAATACCGCTTGTCAATAATAGGCAATCCTCCTTACGCTTATAATCGTTGGTTTGTGTCAATATCGGCGCTTGTCAATAATGGGCACTCCTCTCGACGCTTATAATCCTTGGTTTGTGTCAATCAATAGCTGTCTTTCTCTGTTCCTTTACGTTACATCTTTCTTCTCTCTCGAGTAACGAAATTTGCCCGTGACGCGTTTTTCAAATCACTCTCCATTGTCGTCCAAATAGCAGAAAGCCGTTTAAGAAGTTTCTTTTCAAAAATTATTGAAATGAAAATAATCTTGATACAATTTTGGAACATAAATAAAAGTTGTATGATATTATGTTAAGTGTGTGCTGGCGCTATTTGACTGTGAGTTGGTGGTATACAGAGATCAATGGTGGCTTCATCTCTGTCATTCTCAGGAGAATAAAACATAGTTTATACTAAAGCCTATTTTTATTCTCAACAATCATTGCCAATATGGTTAATAGGACTGTGAGTGCGACTACAATCTAAATTGTATCAATATTCATAATCATAAAAATGAAATACGTCTGTATCGTCACCCTTGAATATATATTTTTTTTTTTTTTCAATAGATATCGAGTATTTAAATAGAAACAGATCTCAAATTTCCGCATACTTTTTTCCTCAACCCATGTTATTTGTGGATGAAATGAATTAAAAATTCCACCACATTGATTGCAGATGTGCGGCAACTCCCATGACGTTACAGGTTATCCTGGTACTGGCAGATATGAATAGGCTTTTAGAGGGTTATGATCCTATTGATACTTATATTTAGAGCTTAAAGTTGTTGGAGCGTCCAGCCTGTAAGAGACATTGTTTAGTATATAACACTGCAATTGAAATGATACACACCGCTTTCTTTTTCCTGGAATTCTGTGAACTTTTTGTTCAGGATGCCTGAAAACCCAAATGACCTAATTTATTTCTGAGCAGGGTGTGGTAGTGGCAACCGGTATCTTTCTAGCACTTTACTGAGGCTATTTGGGCCCCTTATAGGCTACTTCCAGTTTCAACTTGAAAGTGGTTGTGTCATATTTTAGTCCTCTATTATGTTATTCCATAGTTACCGTGATTTGTTAAAGGAAAAAACAGTTCTAAAACCCCTTCTTCTCGTGTACGTGTACGCATGTTTGCTGAATTCGGTGGGTCGGTTGCTCAAGAATGTGCGAAGTTAGTTTTCTCATATCCTTGCGCTATTTAACTGTTTGCTCTAAATTATTTTTTTCGCATACGCATTTTCTGCTATCCTGGTAATTGTGTCATAAAATCATTCAGTCCTCCGTCCGTCCTAATACTGGATAGGTATGCCACAGCTAATTTCAAAACGTGCTTCACGCTGATAGGGTCCTGCTTTGATGAAAGCCGCTATGTTTCAATTCGGTTCTTGAAAGATGTTTTGACAAGACTAACGTCTTCCTCCTGCTTCACCAGGTGTTGGCTCGGTGCTAGAGACACCGAAGATGACCAACCCATTGATTTATCGGTGCCTCCAAGTCGCAATCCTCACACCACCGGCATGTGGCTGATATTGAAGGTCCTGAAAATAATTAAATTAGATTTAAAAAATGCGATTAATGTCAACTTACCAGCAAAAGTCTAGCTTGCTTCATCATGGGGGCGGTGGGATCTCCAGCCTTTCGTTTGGAGGCTCTCTTGGAGCTGGGTGTTTTGATGGTGTTGGATAGCCCCCTCTGCTTTAAAAATCCCACCACACTGGTTACAGATCTTGGAAGATGATTAGCAATCCCATGACGTTTCAGGTTATCTCCTTCCTGGTGAACGATTTTGTACATAAAATTAAAAATTCGCTGTTTATGGAGGTTTGTTTTAAAATAAATGAAAAAATAAAACCAGTTTAAATTGGTTAAAGAACCTACCTAAATTTTAGAAAAAGAAATTTGAGTTTTGTGCAAATGTAAGTGTAAAAGTAAATTCAAGTTGCTCCGAAAAAAACTATTGGAATTAAATTAAAAAATAGGTACTCAGGGTTGTCTGTATTTTTAAAAAACAAACAATATGTTTATGTGTTAAGGAAAATAAAAATAATTCAATAATCGAGGTTTGTGTTAATTTAAAATATGTCTCAGGGCATGATTTATCCTACATCACTTAGATATTTAAAAATAGTACTTACAGTTTTTCGAAACCGACACTTATCGCACAAGAAACTAAACTTTGAAAATCCAGGTTCAAAGTACTGGTACTGGATGCTGCGTTTTTTGTACAAAGAATAAAAATTGAATCCTCATCTTTTACAGGTAACAATGTATCCACTTAAATTTTGTATTGCATAGGGTTATTGGCTCATAAAATGTCAACGATGCTAATGCTAAAAGAATAGATTTATTCTTTTAAATTTTGATAAATCGATTGAATTTGTCACCTTTTTTAAAATAAAAATGGACATATCAAATATCTAACTTAATAATTACGCCTTAAACTAAAAAAATATCTTTAAAATGTGTTGTTGTTTTTCTCGGGCGATTTCTGCGAACGGTCCTGATATAATTCAGATAAAAAAACTGCCAAATAAGCGTTTACATTTCACGGTGCTTTTGTATGTGATATCAAAGTTTAAATCGGATTTTATAATAACAAGCTTCTTTCAGTTTGCTCAAACTCGTCACCAGTGAAAAATATAAAATTATTGCACAACAATTATCATTTTAACCAAGTAAGTAAATATCTTATATACTAATATCAATCAACAACAAGACCTGTTTTTTTATAGCAAAGGATTAAAAACACTGAGAAAATTACAAGACCTGAAGCCTGATATAGAGTGAAATTCCCAATATTTTGGCAGCGTTTTTTGTATGTGATTACTTCGAAGTTTAAATCGGATATTATAATAATTAAGCTCTTTCAGTCTTGTTTGAGACTCGTCAACAACAATAAAATTATTGCACAACAATTATCATTTTAACCAAGTAAGTGAATATCTTATATACTTACTAATATCGATACAATTATGAATATTTTAGATATGGATTTGAAATCAATCAACAAGACCTGTCTTTTTATAACAAAGGATCAAAAACGCTGAGAAAATTATAAGTCCTCGTATAAAGTGAAAGTTCCCAATATTTTCTACGATACAGACCTCAAAATATTTGCAAATCTTTACTGGAACCAATAAACTATACAAATTAAGGTAGATCAACAGATGTCAAGCGAAGTTCGAATTAAAAGGGGTGCCCACAGTGTTGTATTCTTTCTCGTCATTATAAAACTATTGCACAGCAATTATTATTTTACCCAAGTAAGTAAATATCTTATATACTTAGGTAATCGATACAATTGTGGCATATTTTTAGCTATGGATTTGAAATACTCGTTGAATTTGACGACAACGCATAGTGTTTCTCCCAAGACGTACCACCAAAATGATTAGATCATTAAGCAGTTTATTGATGGAAAATATTCGCTTTTTGAAATCGTTGTCTTAAAAAATGTATGTTTTTAATAAAAAAAAACGAGGCCCCTTCCCCATCAAATTATGTTGGTTCCAACCAAGGATAATACACACTACTACTACAGGATAGCCTATCCTCATAAGGCCTGTGTGGAACAAATCCACTCTCTCCCCAACGTTAAATCACCAGTTGTGACGTAAGCAGCATGTTATTTCTCGCCTTGACGTAGGTTGTTTAAACAGCTGATGGCTTAGTTATGGCGTCGTAAATGGTAACACACGAGGTCAATAAGCAATCCTGTAGGTGTGTTTCATCCTTGAGTTCGAACACCCTCTACCAGGTACAACATGAAGCTAGCTGCTGGACCCTCATAGTTACGTCACCACCACAGCATCCTGTTATAAGACACATCGAACTTGTCACATGTACGCTAGATTGTGCCACCGACACAAACTGACGTAACCCACGAGACCCAGGTCGAACCATGAATCGAACTTTGCACTATGTACTCTAGATGGTGTCAAGGACGTGACCCAGGTCGCTATGACGTCATCACAGAACCCGAACCATGAATCGAACTTTGCACTATGTACTCTAAATGGCGCCACAGACGTGACCCAGGTCGCTATGACGTCATCACAGAACGCGAACCCTGAATCAAACTTTGCACTATGTACTCTAAATGACTCCACGGACGTGACCCAGGTCGCTATGACGTCATCACAGAACGCGAACCCTGAATCAAACTTTGCACTATGTACTCTAAATGACTCCACGGACGTGACCCAGGGCGCTATGACGTCATCACAGAACCCGAAACGACTCGGAACAATCCCTTCCATGCAAACTCCATATTACAGGAACCTGTAATTGCAAGAATTCACCGCAATAACCCGGTATGACGTCATCACAGGTGACAGATGACGTTTGACAGGTGACGTTTGACAGGTGGCGTTTGACAGATGACGTTTGACAGGTGACGGTTGACAAGATGGCGGGAAAACATTTCCCCCCCCCCCTTTTTCTGGTAGCCATATTAAAATCCGGGGGCCCCTTTTTGGGGGGCGCAGCCCTGCGGGCCCCCTTTTTGGGGGCGGAGCCCTGCGGGCCCCATTTTTGGGGGGCGGAGCCCTGCGGGAGCAGGTCCCATGGCGCCATCTGTCAACAAGATGGGGCCATGGCGGCGCATCCACCTTCGTGTCAACGACGGCGCATCCACCACGTGTCAAGAATGAAAGATTGAGGTTATGGTCGGAATTTGATAGTCATACCCCCTTTGATTATCTACTTTTATAGAAAATTTGTTAATTTTTGTTGCACTAATGGCCGTTTGCACCGATCATTTTAAGCGAGGTTTAACGATAATCAACGTTTCAAGTGATATTTTTACATGTAAAAATGTCAATTTAAACGTTGATTATCGTTAAACCTCCCTTAAAATGATCGGTGCAAACGGCCATAAAGCGTTTTACACCCCTCCCGGAAATTACTCCTTCTACTCCGAGTGTTGAAAGTAACTTTAAACTTGCGAATTTAAAGTTGTTCAAACAAGAATGTGTATAGTGGTTTATGAGTGCGAAAAAGTGATACTTTCATGACATGAAATGCGTGCGGAAAAGTGGGGTTTCACGTCTCTTTTACGCACTACACTTACAGCCCTTTCCGAACTCCGCTTCCTGTCATTCGTCTATTGGTTTGGCGTTCGGGAGAGTACTCTACTATTGTGTAATACAGTGGTACTACATACACAATGGTACTACTTTGCGCACATGTTAGGAAAATAACTATTTCTGCATTAGGTGCTTTCCGCAAAAATATCAAAATTTGTTTTGTTGAGTGTATAGGGATAGGTATCTCTACAAATATAAGTGCCGAAAAGTCCTTACTACATTTGGTAGGTATATGGGCACAAATAATAACTTTCATCTCGTAAAAAATATAGTGTTTCTAACTCGTGTGAAAGTCTCTTTTCCTCACTTGATTGTTTCGCCCTAAACGCTGCAATCGCGTGCGGAAAATGGCACTTTCCGAACTAGTTGTAGTTACAAGATGGTAATGTGAGATACAAAAAAAGTACATTTTCGGTATTACAGGTTTCTTTATTTATTTAGCTGTCTGATCTAAAGTCTGTTCCATTCATTACAGGTTTCTTCATGTAACTTTCTGTGAGTTGCTTTTATCGAGGTTGCTTTAATACTCATTACAGGTTTCTTCATTTAGCTGTTTGCTGCTTCAATGGATAGAATCCTGAAAATTAAAAATCTTATCGTGCGGACACGTCAGGCAACTGTCAAATTTATCCTATCAAATTTTTTTAGGTTATCTTTTATCGGGTCTTTTATCTTTTACCTCTTCAGCCAAAATAAAAATTAAATTAATAAATAAAATTATCAGTGGTTTTTGTAATTTCGAGGTGTGCCACGATGGGCAGAAGGTGAGTTTAATAAACCAAACTGAAATTAATTAGGAAAGCTAATTTTAGATATTTTGTTTATGTGAGTTCAAGTATTTTTGCTGTTTTTGTTGTACTGTGCTAATTATTGTAACAAATCTATAATCTAATGGATGATGTGTCCTAGTCTAGCCAGTATGACTATTTCTTAATGGTACCATGGTGCTACAACTCTAGTTTAATTTTGATAAATGTAATTTAACTTTAGAAAGAATAAAAAGAGTACTAACTAATTCAAAGTAATAATAGAGAATAGCGAAAATACAAACATTATCCCTATTTTTAATATCAACCAATTTCTTCCCCAAATTCCTCTTTCCATTTCCAAATTTCTATAAAATCATCTCTTCTCTATACTTTTGCCTGTCTCAATTTGTACCTGTTTCCGGCTTTTCAATTTCTGTTTTTTTTTTCAAATTACTCATTACCCTGAATAGAAAGAATTCAAAAGCCTGGAGTAGAGAAATTACAAAAATTTATATTCTTGAGTATTTAGTGATGTAAAATTCCCGAAACATTCAAAAGCCGCGAACATTCTCGGAAACTTACCGGGAATATTGGAAGTTTTCGGGAACTTATGGAAATATTGTTTTTTTTTTTTAATTTATAGCTAAATCAGACAAATCGTAGTAAGCTTCATTTATCTATTATTGTAGTGTACTGACTATAGACTATAAACCAAGAAAAACACCTATTTTTTTCTGTAAGATCAGCTAAAAATTAAACTATGTAGTAAAAATACTTTTATGGAGGGTGGAATAAGGCTTTAAAGGAAAAGCTGATCGGATTAACCCAATCTTCCAGCTCTTTATTTCTTATTTTTCTTCAATGAAGATTATTTCAAAAAAAGACAAACTGTAGGTACATCAGCTGGTGATCGGGTAAATTGGATCAGCGTTTCCGTAAAGACAGTTGGACACAGTAGTGACTGAGCAGGCCAACTTAGAAGTAACTATCTCACATGACCTAAAATGGGAACAGCACATACATGCAATCGTGAAGCGAGCCAACTCAACAGTCTAACTGATACGACACTTTTTCTAGAGAAATGTCTCCTAAAGTGTTTCTCCGAGCCTACGAAACCTACATCAGACCACTGCTAGAGCATGCTGTTGTGGTTTGGTGTCCCTATTTCAGAAAAGACATAGATCTGATTGAGCGTGTCCAGAGGAGGTCTACCAAAATTCCACCATCTTCAAGAGAATTGTCTTATGAAGAACGACTGAAAGCTCTTAATCTGACAACTCCAAACATTCTCACTTATGCCCAAATTTCATAATTTTCTAAAATCTACTAGGGGTAATCGATACATTTCTGTTTGATGTTCCTTTTTAGCTGCTTAACTGCAAATTACTGCATAATCATAGAGCCTCAATTAAATATTTTCTCTCTCTTTTGTTTTTAGAATATTCCTACTAGGATTAGTCCTAGCCCTGCTAGGCACTCCATTAGCCGTGGACAAGAATAACTTCAAAACATGCGAACAAAGCAGCTTTTGCAGGTACATAACTCTTTTCACAAAATGCAAAAACAATTAATGCAACTGTTTTTCAGACGTCTAAGAAAGTACGAGCCTGGCAATAGCGTTTATCATTTGGATTTATCCAGTTTACAAGTAAACGAAAATAGTATCGAAGCTTCTTTGGTTAATTCTGAGGTGCCTGCAGCTAATTTGAAGCTGCACCTACAAGCCGTAGTTGGAAATATATTTAGAGTCACTGTGGATGAAGTTAACGGGCTGCATCCCAGATACAAGCCTCAGTTTGCACTTAACGGAGAACCCCAAGTAAACAAGTAAGAATTTATTTCGTTTCATAATCTTTACTATAATTAAGATATTTCTGTTTTTTAATTATAAAAAATCTGGGCCCGGATTCCGAACCCACGATTTGATACTATCAAATCATGAGTTAGGAATCCCGGGCCCTGTATATTGTTGTGGTTTTTCAGGTTGGAAGTGTTGGAACGAAATTTGGAAACCGTTACGGTGAAGTGTGGCAGTAATAAAGTTAAAGTTACTGCTAATCCTTTAAAGCTGGAATTTTACCAAAGTGAACAACTTGTTGCTGTAGTTAACGGTAAAGGACTGTTTGCATTTGAGCATTACAGGAACAAACCAGCCGAAGGGTGAATTATACTGTTTTAATAGAAGAATTTTTTCTTATGTTCAATTATTACAGAGAAACTGATGTTCAAATCAAAGACGATCCCGGCGCTTGGGAGGAAAATTTCAAATCTCATCACGACAGCAAACCTAGAGGACCTTCAGCTATTGGTAATTTCAATTTTAAAAAATAGATTTTCATCAATACAAATATTAATAATATACAAAAATAACAGGTGCTGACTTCAGTTTTCCTGGTTCGGAAAGGGCCTACGGTTTACCAGAACATGGTGATTATTTGCCGCTGAGGACTACCGGAACAGGTGGCAACGATCCTTACAGGTTGTACAATTTGGACGTTTTTGAGTACGAATTGGATAGTACTATGGCTACTTATGGGTCAATACCAGTTCTATATGCTCACGGGTAAGAGTTAATTTGTAATTTATCTATAAAAATAATATAATCCATTCATTACTTTAAAGGTATTTATTCCGATCATTTTCAGTACTAAACACACAGTCGGTGTATTCTGGCACAATGCTGCAGAAACCTGGGTGGACATAAACAACAGCAAAGACGGCAACATGGTGTCTTCCTTAGTGAACTTGGTTAGCGGTTCAAAGACTGAAGCCAACGTTGACGCGAGGTTTATGAGCGAAAGTGGAGCCATGGATTTCTTTGTTTTGATGGGACCCACTCCTAGAGACGCTGTCAAACAGTACGCTTCTTTGACTGGTGTACACACATTGCCTCAAGTAAGAATGTCACTCTCATTCCTAATTTATTAATCAAAAACGCAAACTTTCTCCATTTCCAGCTTTTCGCTTTGGCTTACCACCAAAGCCGTTGGAACTACAACGACCAAGACGACGTCACAAATGTAGTGGCCAAATTTGACATCCACAACATGCCCCTTGACGTCATGTGGCTGGACATCGAATACACCGACAGCAAAAAATACTTCACTTGGGACCCGATCAAGTTTTCTCAGCCAGAAAACATGGTCAGCAACCTCACCGGCACTGGAAGAAAATTGGTTGTCATCATAGATCCCCACATTAAAAGAGAGGCGGGGTATTTTTTGCATGAGGATGCTTTGAAATATGATTTTTACGTTAAGAATAAGGAGGGCAACGTTTACGAGGGTTGGTGCTGGCCGGGATCCTCATCGTACTTGGATGTCTACAATCCTGCAGCGCAAGATTACTACAAGAAGCTGTATAGTTTGGAGTTCTTTAAAGGTAAGTGGCAAATTTTGATTGTTACCCGTTTTTGAATTGATAGGAAAATGTTTCTATAGAGTGCAAATTTTGATTGTTACCGGGTCTTGAATTACTAGAAAACCTGTTTCAGATTGAATCAAGAGCCGGGAATAGTTCAGATTTTGATAATCACTGGCTCTTGAATTATTAGAAAATTTCTTTGAAGGAAATCAAGACCCAGTGACGGTTCAGAATAGAATTATCTCCGGTTGGAACATTTTTCCGGCCAAAAATTTGATTATTACTGGCGCTTAAATCACCAGAAAACTTTTCTAGATGAAGTCAAGAGTCGGGAATAGTTCTGATTTGAATAATAAGTACCGGATCTTGTAGACAAAATCAAAAGCCACTAATGCATAATTCAAATTTTGATTCATCCTTCACTTATTGCAAACCCAACTTCAATAGATTTTGAATCAAACATACTATTTTCAAAGAATAGGAGCCTTTTTTCCAGATAGACAAAATTCTCCATTTTGTTTATCAAAAACTGCATAACAGAAAACCGTCTGAGTAAAAAAAACTCCTGTTTTTATTGGTTGTTAAAGCAGTATACTGTAAATGAAAATTTATTTTCCGAATTTCCGAACGGAATGCAAAAATGAAAATCACCAATATTTTCATCAACTAGCTAGCCTTCCTAACTATAACTACGGTACCCTATCTCACAGTCTAAGTAGTTGGCAATTTCTTTCATAATTATGTTAATATTTTCTACAGGCACTACCCACGACGTTTGGCTATGGAACGACATGAACGAACCCTCAGTTTTCAACGGTCCAGAAGTAACCATGCCCAAAGACATGGTCCATTACGGCGGCTGGGAACACAGAGACGTACACAACGAATACGCTTCAGCCTACATCCGCATCACCCACCAAGGCCTTTTACTCAGATCTCCCCATCGCCGGCCTTTTATTCTAACCCGAGGCCATTTCGCCGGATCTCAAAGATTCGCCGCAACATGGACCGGAGACAACGAGGCCAAATGGTCGCACTTGGCTGCCAGTTTACCGATGTGTCTTTCTGAAGCTTTGAGCGGTTTGAGTTTTTGCGGTGCAGATGTCGGAGGATTTTTCCACAACCCCGATCCAGAGTTGTTGCAGAGATGGTACCAGGGTGGTATTTGGCTTCCGTTTTTCCGTGCTCATGCTCACATTGATACCAGAAGACGCGAACCATTTTTGTACCCGGATGAAGTTATGAGTAATATCAGACACAGTTTAAGGCTGCGCTATGCTCATCTTCCTTTGTGGTACACGTTGTTTTGGGAACATGAAACAACTGGGGAACCTGTTATAAGGCCATTGTTTTACCATTATCCTGAAGATGAAAAGGTTTTGGATATTGATAATACTGTTTTGGTGGGGCAATCGGTTCTGGCAAGGCCGGTAACTACAGCTGGGGAGACTTCGGTTGAAGTTTACTTGCCAGGAGGTTCCAATGCCAAATGGTACGATATAGAGGATTACAACTTGTACCAGGGAGGTAGTCATAAAGTTCCTGTTAGCTTAGATAAGGTAATATTAAAAGCCTTATTTGTAATTATTGATTTAAATGTCTTTTTTTTAGCATGTAGTATTCTACAGAGGTGGCTCAATAATACCACGCAAAGACCGTCCTAGGAGATCATCTACAGTGATGCACAATGACCCATTCACTCTTTACGTGGCTCTAGATTCAAATAATGCAGCCTCTGGTACCTTGTATGTGGATGACTATCAAAGCTTCGAGTATAAGAACGACAAAAAGTACCTTTATGTACATTTCAAGTTTGAAAATAACAAACTTACAAGCAGTCTTATAGACAAGACTGACTATGCCACCGAGGAATGGATTGAAAGGGTGATCATACTTGGACCAGTGAATAAACATGTGTCTAAAGCTAAAATAACAAGCAAAAGTGAGTAGAAATTATGAATTTCCATCTACAGCTCATAATTATTCGTTTTAGGTTTAGGGGTTGCAACTTTGGAAGTTTCCTATGATGCCGAATATAAATCTTTGACCATAAGGAAACCAGCAGTTTCTGTGCGAGAGCCTTTCACCATCGAGCTTGTGTAATTAGTATTCAAAGCTTCTAATTTGTGATTTCCTAATTTAATTTGTTTATACTTAATTTAAGTGTAAAAAAAATCATTTGTAGTTGTAAGTTTTCATTGTTTCATTAATTCTAGTAGTGATTGGTGCTTGAAGTTGTAAGGCATTTGGTTGAATAAAGAAAAGACCGTTTTTTCTTTCTAAGTTTGTCTTTTATTTCTGCCACCAAGATTAACAGTTTTAAGTAATTGTTGTTGCGTCTCATTTTCATGTGAAATGATGTTTGTCAATTTACGGTATGGCTATATATACGCCAACCATATATGATGGTACGGCTGTGGGTCACGGTAAGGAAAACAGGATGAGACAATTGTAAGTCGAGTTGTTAGTACTGTTCAGGAAATTTTATTATCACATTTCATCAAGGATTTTTTGGTTAACAAGAATAAAAAGGATAGGTAATAATTGTCAAAGGTAAATGATAAATAGTATCATTGTATAAAGTCTCGAGACTGTTTATACAATGATAGTATTCAATTTTTTGGGTTTCGATGGGGGTAGTTTTAGTGGAGAAGGCCGATGAGTCACTATTGTGTATATACAAAATTTTTCGAAAGGAAAATTGTTCGAACAGAAAATTGTTCGAAAGGAAAATTGTTCGAAGGGAAAATTGTTCGAAGGGAAAATTGTTCGAAAGGAAAATTATTGGAATGGAACCAAAAACGTGAAAAACCACACACACAAAAATACAACTTACGGTTGGTAACGCATCAGTCTGCTACCAGAATCGGACATGGAAGCACCTCTGAAGATGCTAGCGAAACGTCAGGAAGAAATTCCAACTTACGACGGCCATTAAGCCCGAATGAAAACATCTTAACGATCAGAAACTGTTTTACAAAAGGATTTAAAATAAAACTTGTCAACTACATACTTTTAGTTTGATATTTATACACAAAAACAAGTTTTTTTAATTATCATCGATACAATACAAATAATCTTTACATTTTTCAGTAGGCTTATAATAACCCTTCATTACAATCTGTAAGCGATAGTCCCTTATAATCTAATGACTAGAATACTGATGAATTTTTTTAAGTCTTTATCTTCATTAAATAAAAAAAAATTGTGGAAGAGTGCAGCTTTGTCCTATAAAGAAATACAGACATCTAAACAAGAAACCATACATTTGACGCATCCAGATCTTAACAAGCAAAATTTTTTTCGTCTTTGTTAAGGTCTGTGTACGCAAAGTAGATAAAACAAACAATACTGCAGACATTATTACAAAATACATTTTGGTCAAAAATTACAGTATTTAAGTACAATAAATGTATATAAAAAACATTGAGGTATAAAATACTAAAAAACAAACGAGTATTAGTCCAAAAGTGTTCCAAAAAGGAAACAAATGTGTTTATATAATAGTCGAATCTAATATGCTTAAATACTCTTCTACTTAATCATATATTTATGTATATATTTTAGCATCACATATTAAACTTTCACATAGGCAAAAATAAGGACCACTTTTATATGTATTACGAGAAAAAAAATGATCAATGTAAATCAACTCACTGTTATTGCTTTTTCAAAAACTGAACAAAGTCTGTGTAGATTTCGAAATTTAAGTCATAGGACTTGAGACTCTGTAAGTTATAAAAGATCAGAAGTGTCTCAGAGCTTAAGACTAAAAACTGAACATTGAAAATTGAAGACTGTTGAAGCTCTGAAAATTGTAGATTAAGGACTGGGCATAATGAGCAATAATGATTATAGTGAGTGGATTTACATGGAAACTTGCTTGATCTGTGCGCTACAAAATTCGAGATTTTTGTGCCGTTAAAAAACACCATTCAACAATAATAAAAATAAATTAAAATCTAAAAAATCACAATAGGTTTGCAAAAAAATAAAATAAAAATTTTAGGCGTCCTAAACTAATAAACAATTAAACATAGTAACGAAGAGTGATATTTACAACACAAGTAGGTATAATAACTAAACACAAAAAAATATATACAATAATAATTTATAAAAAAATAAAATAAAATGCAGAATATTGATGTGTTAACCAGGTAAAAAGCCATAGATACTATGGAAATTTTTGTTTTTTTTGTACATTTGTGGCAAAAAAAAAAACTTACATATACTTAAGAATTATTGCTGCCTCCTTCTGCCTTCAACGTCTTGCATCTCTCCTTCTCCTGATTATTATCGGGAGGCTCGCATTCAAAACTAGCCAAAGCCAAAGCGTTTTCGTTCAAAACAGGACTGTGCTGCAGTAAACCAATCACCTTAGGGTCCTTTTCGAACGGACAAGTGACTTGTTTCCAAGCCATAAACTCCGTCACTTGTTTGGCCAACTGCCAGAACTTTTCAAAATTAATGTGACCGTTTAGCAGCTTACTGGAACAGCCCTGATTCAAAAAATACAAATCTTTGACCAGCAAACTGAAAAACGGAATGACGATCCTCTGGCGTTGGTCAGTGGCGCCTGCGCTGCGCCACATTGCTGCTTTCAGGGTGCTTCTGTAGCTGCTGAAATTGCTGCTCGGGTCCATTTGGTGTTCAAGGATAGCGAATTTGCCCGATTGGATTTTGTTCCACTGGAAAAAGAATTGTTGTTATGATGAGTTAATTTGGGGTTTGCATTTAAGTACTTACGGTTTTTTTCAGTCTTGATATAGGCGACATGTTTAGGCCGGCAATGATAGCCATGAGGCTGTTAAAGTTGCCGATGTTGAAGCATTCTCGGCCGGTTTCGATCCAGTATTCTACTGTTTTGACTCGCTGTTTTTTCTTTTGATACTGTAAAGAAAAAATCATATTTATAATAGACAACATTACATTAAAATCATTTACTGAAAACATATGACAATCTAATGGAAGGTAGTATACATGTGAAGGAATTAGAATTCAATGAATATCTGAAAGAAATTTCCAATAATGCAGATTCAAAAAAGAGTGAGCTAAGATCTTCCTCAAGAACTAGTCTTCTTTGGCTTGAATATCAATGTGCAGTAGCTACCATTCGTAAACTCATAACTGCAGATCGTTTAGGATAATTTCCACCAATGCTATTTGAAGGTGTTACAGAAGCCCTGCCCATTTTTTGCAGTAGCTGAGCATACTGATTATACAAAATCAGTTTACCTTCACTTTACAGAACATGACTGAACTTCACAGCATGCATCCTGAAATCTATGCAGTTTTTAATAAAGGTAGTCGTGTGATACGACGTACTGATAAAATATGGGCGGGATTGCCAGCAGATTTGGTAAATGAGCAGTCTTTAATGAGGTCACTGAAGACAAGTGCAGGTCTCACCATGTCCGAAATATGAAAAATCACTTGAATGTGACTCAGATAAGATACTTGAGCTACTGAGATCGCTTTCACCTTATTCAAACGACCCAACTTTGCGAAACATTGTAACCGGTGTCACAGCAGCTGAACAAGTGAATATTGATATATTTAAAACCATTGGCATGGACATTATGGAAAAGATGAAGGGCCAGGAGGTGTTTTCGTATAAAATGAAACTAAATGACAAGGCAAAAACAATTTCTTCTGTATCATCCATTAAGTTCAAGAACAATGAGGCCACTAATGACCTAGCTCTGTTATTTTAGCGATTGATTATGTCATCTTCTTCTGGTGAAACTGATCTTGCGGAAGTAATGAAATATGAACTGTGCTCCTTTCCACCTGCATTATTTGAAAGTCCAACAGTACCTATTGTTAAAAGCAGACAAGCCAAAGCTATCAAGATTGATTGTGTATGTAACTTCAAATAATCCTCAGCCATTCGCAACAGCGGAGGAAGAAGATTCAAGTTATGTGCTCGATGGTGAGTCCATGGCCAATAAAGTGATCAATAAGAAAAAGTAATATGAATTTTGCAATAGAGCCTGAGACAAGAGGAAACAGAACATGAAGTAAGAATACACAAATATTCAAGACAAACTTGAATAGTTGAAGTTCAAAAAATAATTCCTCTTAAAAGACACTTATGATTATGCACTTTACACAGGAAAATACTTATTTTCAATATCTCAAGTCCTTATGACTTGAAAAGGAGCAGTAGTATTGGGACTGCATTGAGAAAGAACTCAAAAGAAGTGGATCAGCAAAAGGTGAAAAGAACGAAAGAGGACATTCAGAACCAAAAGTCTATTGGTTTGAGAGTTTCAAGAAATATTCAACGAAAATGTATAGTGCCCCTCTGTTGATAATTATCATGTGACGTTTTGATTTCTATGGCTTTCAATAGATATATATCAGCGAGTGGTTTACAACTGTCGTCGTTTCTCGCTTTTTACTTTCCCTAGATTTCGGTTCCACCATATTCTCCTTCTTGAATGCCTCTCTTTTCCATGGCCTCCATGACATCGTTTTTCCAGCTTCTAGGTGGTCTACCGCGCTTTTTGCGCTCTGGTCAAATCCAAACCAAACCTTTCTCTGGCCCCCGGCTAGTGTACATTCTTTCGACATTGCCATACTATGCGAGTCTTTTGGATTCAATCGTGTCTATAATACTTCTATCTACTTCCATCGATAGTCTAATTTCTTTATTTCTATGATCTAGTCTGGATGTTCTGCTGCTTCTAAACCAGTAATCCATATCCACAGCCAAGAGCTTTTCCCTGTCCCTTTTTGTTAATTCCCAGATTTCTGTGCCATACGTAATTATAGTTTCAATAATGATAGTATAATATTTTCTTGTTTCTTTTTGTTATTTTTTTGCTTTATAATAAGGAATTAAGTTGGGAAATAACTCTTCGCCTTGGACCAACTTTATTCGACATGTCAGTATGCGCCTTTACCATTGGAAAAAAGGGTAACACCAAGATATTTGAACGAAGGGCAGTTCTCCATTACACAGTGTCCTACATTTAAGTGATCTGCCAATTTATCCACTACTGCCATACATTCCGTTTTCTTCATCTTTATTGTTCCCAGTTATGATATTCTTGTTGGAGTTTTCGCAGCACATAGCTCGAGTCATCTTTATCTCCAGCTATAACGATCTGGTCGTTAATAAAAAAGAAAGTGAAAAGTATGTCCTTTCCTATTGGTAAGCCCCAATGGTAAGCCCATGCCGCTAGATTTCGTTTTCCAAGATTTGAGGACACTCTCAAGTCTCAATGTAAATTTTGAAAAGTAGTGGAGCAAAGGAGCAGCCTTGCCTTACACCTTTTGTTGTTGGGAATTTTTCAGAAAGTTTTCTATCTTGTTTGACTGACCTATATGTTTTGGTGTATAGATCTTTGACAGCATTTACATGCCGAGGGGCGTTTCCCTCTCGAAATACATGTACCTACCTAATAATTTACCGAAATCTCTTCGCAATCGCAGAAGTCGTTACCGAAGGCCCGCAATCGCTGCCGAAATCGGGAAATCGCAACCGAAATCGGTAAATCGCAGCAGGAATTGCGCAGTTTGGACGGAAATCTCACAGTTTCTGTGCAGAAATCACGCAATCGCTTCAAAAATCTAAGATCTCGCGTGAAAACCGCACTCCTAGTCCTATACCTACTCTCCTACTCAAAATATGTAGTAGGTATCAGAGAAAATCCGTCATGAAGATATTATGCGGGATCGTTGCAATTTTTCAAAAAAGAACTTTGTGAAAAACGTAGGTAGCTGTAGCACAAATTCTAAATCTTTCGCAAAATCCTGAAGATATAATGGACAAAAGGAAGATTTAAATATCCAGATAAAAAACTTTTTTTGAAGTTTGTTTTCAATCATATAGGTACTGATATAGAAATCAGTGCAAACAAATTCCCTTACAAATTTCACATGGAAAAAATTATTTACTCTTCCTTCAGTGTGTGCTTTCTTATTGTCTACGAATATTTTGTATTCATATTACATGAAAATACAAGTATTTGTACTCTTGTACTTTATTATAGTGAATGAAAAAGGAGGTAAAATACTACCTACAATATAAAACTGTTATCAATACTTTAAAATGGCAAAGTATGGTAGGTACTTATCCTAGAGGGACTACGAGGAAATCGTGTGGCAGTCAGACTTCAAATAAATCCCGCAATCTAGTAAGATTACGAAGAAATCACTAGAAAGATTGCTTGGAAATCGCTGCAGTCACTTGGATTTCTCAGAATTCAAAATCACTAAAATCGTTTAGTGATTGCGAGGAAATCGCCGCAATCCTTAAAAAAAAAAATACTGAAATCCCAGGGATTGCTGCAATACATGTACATTTTTTTGGGAGTGAAACACCCTCGGCTTATCCTATTGCTGGCCACAACTTACTTAATGGCACCATGTCTGTAAGTCCACAAAGGTTAGGTGAACTTGTCTACCTCTTTCTACTCTTTTTTCAATGAGATTTTTGAAAGTAAACACTTCATCAATATGTACAAGTGAGTCCTGCTCTGAAACTATTTTGTTACTCTGATCCTTGGAACTCAATTTCTATTTTGTTTTTCAGAATAGGCACATCCATATACTCTGGCTACTGAGCTTGTAACGGTGATCCCTCTATAGTTTTTACAGTCCAGCCTATTCCCTTTTTTGGAGATCGATGAGATTAGCCGTTCCTTCCAGTCTAGTGGCGCCAGTGGCGGTTGTTTTCCTGGAAGACATTTGGTAAAGATCTTCGAAATGATCTCTATTAGTTTTACTGGGGCGGCTTAACAGTTCGATATTTGGCACAGGAGCCTTTCCGTTTTTCACATGAGTCAATGCATTTTGTACTTCGCGTGGTGATATTTCTGGGGTCCAGCCGTTTATCTCGTCGTTTTCAATTTCATCAGTTTGAAATTGTGATCTATCTTCTGGTAGGTAGTAGAAATCTCTGTAGTTAGTAGTGGTTTCTCAATTTGTTAAGGTGTATGGGGTTTATACCATCATAATCAATATTCTCTCTTCTCATGCTTTTTAGAAGCTTCCATGCTTTATTTATAATCGCGAATTTTCCAAGCTTCTATTGACTTGGTCACATGAAATCTTGGTTGTTGCTTTCAATAGATCTTGGCCAATAAAATAGTTGGATTTAAATACATCATAAATATAAAATGAAATCACCAGCGAAAGATGAGAATTTGAGCCATTTTTTTTGAAATTACTACATCTGAGATAAATCTATGAATTCGTGAGATCCAACAACGATTGTCTCATCTATTTGATTGTCATTCAGAAGAGCCGAGAGTCAAGAAGAGCCCTTTAAAGAAGCAACTTCTGAACCAAAATCATTTCATAACCTAGTTAAGTATAATATAATGAAGATAGGAATGGGGATGCGATGGGAAGAGTAAGTACTTTAAAGAATTACTGACAGAACAACGGGCAGAGTTTGAAGAAGAAAAGGAACAATCACGAAACATAAATACTGCAGGATCACCATCAATAAGAGTTATGCAAGAAGAAATTAAAACACTGTAGCTTCTTGAAAAATGGTAGGGCACCAGGCCCAGGAGAAATATATGGAGAACTGATAAAGTATGGGACCAATAAACTCTACAAACATTTAACAAAACTATTTCAAATATGCATAGATAAACATGAAGTACCGGAAGAATGGAAGATAACAACGATATACAAGAAAGGAGACAGAAACAAATGCGAGAAACCAAGGAATTGCAGTAACAAATACGCTGAGCAGAAGAACAGGCCGGTTTTAGCGCACTGTAGACCGCCTACTCAGTTTGACCCAGGTAATAGAAAAGAAACTAGTGTATAACCAAGAGCTCCATTTACTCTTTGTAGATCTAAAGAAAGCATATGACAATGTTCTGCTGGAAAAGCTTTGGGAAGCACTGGAAAAAACCAATATCAACTTAGAACTAATAAAGGCAGTCAAAACGCTCTATAGTGATGCAAAGACCAAGATTAAACAGGGAAACGTGATCAGTAAAAGCTTTATAGCAACTAAAGGACTTAAACAGGGATGCTGTATATCACCAACATTTTTTAAAATATACTTAGAACAAGCGCGAAAAACAAATGCATACACATGGGAATACCTTTTAATGAATACAATCTTTATACTTCAAGCTGCATAGGACTATAATGACCTAGAGTACATGACACGAAAATTGATAGAGGAATACGAGAAATGGGGTTTAGAAGTAAATCTAACTAAAACAGAATATATGACTATAGAAGGTGAGCAACGAACTCTGAAATTGAATAACAGACAAGAAATAAAACAATATACTGAAGACAAATCTTTGGGCATGAAAATCTCACATGCAGGAACCCTAGACGACGTGGAATATACAAGGAGGCAATAAGGCAATATCCCTACTAAATGGTGTACTGTGTACTGTAAGACCAGAATATCAACAAAACTAACAAAACTAGAATATACAACACCATAGTCAGTAGCATAGTCACATATAGTTCATAAGTCTGGCCACTTAATAACAGAACCGCAAAAATGCTGGAAGCAACTGAAATTATGGAGGAGAGCCGGCAGGCAGATCCAAAATGGAAAGGATAACAAATCTGAGAATTAGGGAGATTATGGATGTAAAATATACAATAGTAGATGATATAAAGGACAAACAGCTGATTTGGTTCGGACATGTACAAAGAATAGAAGATGCAAGCAAATTATTGAGTGGAAGCCAGGGGAAGAAGAAGACGCGGCACTGGAGAAGTGGAGTAGACGAAGAAATGATAGACAGAAGCTTGGATTGACAGAGATGGTTAGAAATCGGGAATCGGAAGACGTAGAACGTTATAAACCGATAATTATATGTATAATGAAAATAAATTAAAAGAGAATTTGGAACTACTTCAGGTAGGTATATTAGATTTAAACAAAGTGAAATATGTAAGAAAGTGAAAGTCCCAAGTATTCGGACAAATTTATTTATTACATTGAAACTGATGGAAAAACGTTTTTAAATTAAACATTAAGTAAAACGATATTAAAGAAGACTCAAATATCATACGATGCTACAAATGTTGCAGCTATAGACATAAATCTATCAGCTGTGTAGAGGATAAGGCATGTCAAATTGTTTGAAAAAAACATCAAAATTGGAAATGTAATGAAAAACTGTAATAACTGCCTGACATATAATTTAAAAAAATAAAAACATAATATCGAATGCTGAACATAAAGTAACCAGACATGTGTCTCTACCAGCTAACCCCCAGCAAACACAACTCAAGACCCAATTTCATAAATCCAGTCACAAATTCAAACATTGAACCTGGACAACATGAACCCAAACTTGAATTTCGCCGAACAAAACTTTCTCTAAATCCCTAACTCAAAAAACCTATACTATATTAAAGACCAAATAAATACAAGTTACTAGTTGAACCAGGAGCAGGCATCTTAATTTTTAAAAACAACATACTCCAAAAATTTCCAACGAGATTCCCCGAAAATATTAGCATTCGAGGAATCACCAACCAAAAACTATCTATTCAAGAATCAACCCTTGTCCCTTTTGTTAAAGAAAACCCACTTAGAGTTTATATTTACGATCTTGACATAGAATTTGATGGCATTCTGGGATAAGAATTTTTCGAGCATTATCAATGCATTTATATGAATTTGAAAGCAAGAAATATGATTACAAACTTTAATCCCATACTCAATATGCAAAAAATGAACTCAATTTCCATTGAATTCAGAACCGAGAAAATTTTTAAATTAAAATGCAATCTTTCCAATACAGACGCTATTATCTTTTCCGAAGTGAAGGGTACCCAATGCAATGGTTGGGGGGAATTTTTGACTACAATCATCAACGCTAACGCTCTTCCCTGAGTTATTGATTTCTCAGACTTAAAAATCGAGCCATTCATTGCTCAAACGAAGATATTTTCATTTTAATTCAGAAAAAATCTTCACTCCTGATAGAAAATCGTTTAAAAAAAAAGATCTTCCACTAAGAACCATTCAAACGATGAAGAACCGTGAATACGTGTCTCAGTTTTTCCAATATATTTCACCTTGAGGAAGACAGTGCTTGAGTACAGTGAGATTAAGCATGGTATTTATTGATACTGGTGTCTCCCGACCCGTCTTCACTAAATCTTATCGCTATCCCCAAGTGCACAAAGAGGAAGTGAAATGGCAAATCAACAAAATGCTGAATCACTGCATTATTCGACCATCATTCCCTTCGTTTCAGTGGTTCTCAAGACGGTAGATGCTTCAGGAAAGCAAAAGTGGCATGTTCATAAGCTCAATGAACTTAGTGTGGGAAACAAATATCCGGCCTTTTAAACCAAATAAGAAAGTGTCAGTACTTCCCAACATTTGACTTAGCTTCAGGATTTCATAAAATCGAAATAGAGCCTGTAGAGTGCAAACATTATCAAAACTACCTTCATAGTAGAAAATGGTCATTACGAGTTTGTCCGTATGCCATATGGCCTCAAAAACGCCCCCTCATAGTTTCAGCAAGTCACGCTTCTTGACATCTAGAATGAACGCTGTTTGGCCTCCATATGGACGACATTATTATTATCGTATATCGAACCAACTATCCATGAGCACATCTCTATTTTTGAGGTTTTCTATTATATCTCGATGTGATGTTTTTGTTGTTTGATATCTTATATTAACCGAAGTCTTTGAACGTCTTCGCAAAGCAAATTTAAAGATACAACCTGATGCGAAAGAATTTCTTAGGAAAGAAGTGGCATATCACAGCCACAGCCACCTTTTAAGAAGGAGTAAAACCTAACCCAGCAAAAATCGAATGCATTTATAGCTTTTTCGTTCCGACAACACCAAAAGAGATCAAATCCTTTTTACAAGTCGTTGGCTATTACCGACGTTTTATTCCCAATGTTGCGACAGAAGAACGTTTTATTTAACTTTGACTCAGAATGTTCTCCTTCCTTTTTAATCTATCCAAATTTCGAAGAAACCTTTGTCATATCAACCGATGCTGAATTTGAAACTTTTTAGTCACAACTCTCAGACAAATCCCATATAAGAACATTATACCACTTCTAGAACCAACCATTAATTTATATAAACCACTTGGTTATCTGTCTGTCTGAGCTTATAGAAATTATATAATTTGAAAATTTCAATGTTTATGCACTCACTGATAACAAAACTAAAAATATCAAATTTAAAAGTCCAAAATAATGATGATTCAATTAATTAATATAATTAATTAAGCTTCAAGTTTGTTGCAAGATAAATAATTTAATTTAATATAAGAATAGAGTCTTATCTATAGCAACTCCAACGACTGGTAGTGACTTGGGTTGGCTTATTATAAATTATAATTAAAAACAAATCACTTACTTTACACACTTGGGTGGCAACAAAATAGCTGAGCCTATTGAACCACTGCACGTACTGTTCCAAATTTCTAGTTTTCTTCAAATCCTTAAACGAAGTTTCCAAAGCCGGATTCTCTTTGGCGAAAGCCTGCACGAATTCTTCTGGACCGATAAACGACAACCTAACAACAATTAAATTAGCCAAAGCAAATACAAAACACAACATTTATACCTTTCTAGTTCCACGTGAGTCAGTTGCTGGGCAAGTTTCTCTGGATTCGGACACGTTTCCGAAATGTCGGGGCAAGAAATGTATTCGTCGGAGGAGGCCGTGTTTGTCTGATTTTCCTGGGCTTTTTCGTATTCTTCGAGAGCTGTCAATTTTGGATGCAAATTGTGAAGCAGCAACGACACGTTGGTCCTTAGGCTGGGATTAATGGCGCAGCATTGTTGAGTCACTTTACGTACGTGTTCCATCATCCTTTCATCCCTAAAAATATTTTATTTATATATTGAAATTGTTAATGTATTGTTTCTCACCTGAAATCGTATGGAAATTGTTCAGTCCACTCGGCAAGCAGCTGAACCATTTTTTCAACAAATCTCAATTGTTGAGCTCCTGATGTGGGTGCGGTACCACCGAGGCCTTGCTGCTGATCGCCCAAGGCCCTTACGCGAGCCAAAAGGTCGTGAGGCTTGATGAAGAGCCTGGCAGACAGCAGGAAAGCGAACAGATAGGCTCTGTCTGGATAGTAGGATTCTGTAGGAACCATGTGCTGGATTAGGGCTTCTAGAGGACCGCTGAGCAGGTTGCCATCTCTGTAGACCAACGCCTAGAAGTAAATGGAAATGTTTCAGTTAGTAAGCTAGTGTGTTTCAAAATGAAGTTGTGGGTGGTTTACAATTTAGAAACTGTATTGTAAGTTTCTTGGCTCTACAAGTGTCACACAATCTATTCATCAAATTGTAAGTTTTTGGCTGTACAAAAATATCCCACAATCTATAACTGATTTTGTAGATCATAAGTGCCCAAGGGGTAAACTGAGGGGTAAACCACCATCCCAGAATTGGTGGAAACAATTCGTCAAAGGGGAATTTTTTACGCATAATTCCTCAAAATTTCTACAAATTCCTCCAGATATCCCATCACAAATTCCTCCAAATACCACACCACGAACTTCTCCAAATACCCCACAAATTCGTCTAAAAAAAGGAAAAATTTGGAACGTTTTTTTCCCAAAAATTCAAATTTTTCCAGTGGAAAACAGCAAAATGAAAAATCTTGGAAATCAACCTACAAAAACTGAATTAGTTGAAAATACAGTCTCACACATTTCAAAATTTTCCTGGAAAACTAGTGAAAAGAAAAATTTGAAACTTTTTGCATGTAAAGAGAAAGGTGAAAAGCTCATTTACCCAAAATTTCAAATTTTTCTAGTGGAAAATAACAACATGAAAAATCTTGGAAATCAACCTACATAAACTGGATTAGTTGAAAATACAGTCTCACACATTTCAAAGTTTTCCTGGAGAATTAGAGAAAGGAAAATTTTGAAGCTTTTTGTATGTAAAGAAGAAGGTGAGAAGCTCATTTTCCCAAAATTTCAAATTTTTCCAGTGGAAAACAGCAACATGAAAAATCTTGGAAATCAACCTACAATAACTGAATTAATTGAAAATACAGTCTCACACATTTCAAAGATTTCCTGGAAAACTAGTGAAGGAAAAATTTGAAACTTTTTGCATGTAGAGAGGAAGGTGAGAAGCTCATTTTCCCAAAATTGCAAATTTTTCCAGTCGAAAACAGCAACATGAAAAATCTTGGAAATCAACCTACAAGAACTGAATTAGTTGAAAATACAGTCTCACACATTTCAAAGTTTTCCTGGAAAACTAGAGAAGGGAAAATTTTGAAACTTTTTGCATGTAGAGAGAAAGGTGAGAAGCTCATTTTCCCAAAATTGCAAATTTTTCCAGTGGAAAACAGCAACATGAAAAATCTTGGAAATCAATCTACAATAACTGAATTAATTGAAAATACAGTCTCACACATTTCAAAGATTTCCTGGAAAACTAGTGAAGGGTAAATTTTGAAACTTTTTGCATGTAGAGAGGAAGGTGAGAAGCTCATTTTTCCAAAATTCCAAATTTTTCCAGTGGAAAACAGCAACATGAAAAATCTTGGAAATCAACCTACAAAAATTGAATTAGTTGAAAATACAGTCTCACACATTTCAAAATTTTCCTGGAAAACTAGAGAAGGGAAAATTTTGAAACTTTTTGCATGTAGAAAGGAAGGTGAGAAGCTCATTTTCTCAAAATTTCAAATTTTTCCAGTAGAAAATTACAACATGAGGAATCTTGAAAATCAACCTACAAAAATTGAATTAGTTGAAAATACAGTCTCACACATTTCAAAGTTTTCCTGGAAAACTAGTAAAGGGAAAATTTTGAAACTTTTTGCATGTAAAGAAGAAGGTAAGAGGCCCATTTTTCCAAAATTTCAAATTTTTCCAGTGGAAAACAGCAACATGAAAATCTTGGAAATCTACCTACAATAACTGAATTAATTGAAAATACAAAATACACACATTTCAAAGATTTCCTGGAAAACTAGTGAAGGAAAAATTTTGAAACTTTTTGCATGTAAAGAGGAAGGTGAGAAGCTCATTTCCCCAAGGTTTAAAATTTTTCCAGTGAAAAATAACAACATAAAAAATCTTGGAAATCAACCTACAAAAACTGAATTAGTTGAAAGTACAGTCTCACACATTCTAAAGTTTTCCTGGGAAACTAGTGAAGGAAAAATTTTGAAACTTTTTGCATGTAAAGAAAAAGGTAAGAGGTTCATTTTTCCAAAATTTTTCCACTGGAAAGCAGCAACATGAAAAATCTTGGGAATCAACCTACAAAAACTGAATTAGTTGAAAATACAGTCTCACATATTTCAAAGTTTTCCTGAAAAACTAGAGAAGGGAAAATTTTGAAACTTTTCTATGATAGATCTATGAGCGAAAACTAGACAATCCAGAAAATCGGAAAAATGTGCCTGAGGAATTTTCCCGAACACTTGATCATGAAAAGTCCTCGACCTGAATGACCTCTGCTTGTCCCTGCAATGTCCTTTAAAAAAGTTCTGTCAAAACTCCAAGGTGAAGGGTACTGGGGATTTTGATGGTAGTTGGGGCATGGGACTTATTCAAGTTAAGTTAGTACCGGTCATTGACCCTATTTGGAGCGCTGTCAATCTAGACAATCTACTCCGATCAGACAATCAGCTGTTCTAGTGTAAATATTGTGATTTTGTTTTATTAATAAATTAATTGTCTATTCATTTTAACCCTACTAACAGAAAATCAGTTCCATTAATAAACCTCTAACTTAATGATTCTGGGAAAAATGAAAAGTTTGATGAAAAGTTCGGCCACAACTATTGAAAAGACAACAGTGGCTTGACGAAGGTATGCTATTCATTGAGGCGAATACGCTTATTTCCTTTCATTTTAACCCAGGAAAAATCATCCCGTAACAAGCAGATATATTATAGTTATGACCTAGAGACCCTGGCAGCAGTCGAAACGATCAAGCGTTTTCGAGTGTATCTGGTAGACATACCGTTCAAGCTAGTTACAGATTGCGCTGCTCTTCGGGCAACTTTTGAGAAAAAGGACATGATACCACGAGTAGCTCGGTGGTGGTTGAGCATCCAGGAAATGGAGTTCACCATTGAGTACAGACCGGGAGCACGTATGCAACATATGGACGCGCTGCGTAGGAACCCAGTACAAGTCAGCGTCATAATTGGGGAATCTGACTGGTTTCTGTCCGTTCAGCTGCAGGACGAGAGAGTCTGTCAGATTTATGCTAGTCTGGAGTCAGGAATAGCTGATGAGCAGCTCAAGGTGGACTTCAAAGTGAAAAACGGGAGAATTTAGCGTAAAACCGTTGAAGGGGAAGATTGTACGTACCTACAGCGGCAGCGTTCAGCCTATTGAGAAAATGTCATGTCATGACGATGTGGGTCACTCAGGGTTTGAGAGGTATCTCAGCCTTGTGAAAAGAACCTATTGGTTCCCACGCATGAATTACATGAATGGAAATAAACCTCTAAGAGAATTGATTGGATGTTTGGTGTTTTTAGTGTTAGGAACAAGGCCAGATATAAGTTAAACGGTAAACTATTTTAGTAGATTCCTAAGATTCAAATTCAGAAGAAGTTTGGATTGGTCTGAAGAGAGTGCTTAGATATTTAAAAAAAACAGTAAAGCTAAGTTTAAAGTATGAAAGGAGGATGAATGCCTTGCCATTGTGTTATTACGTTGACTTAGATTGGGCAGGAGATTCAAATGATAGAAAGTCAGTGTCAGGGTATGTCAATTGAGTTTTTGGTAACACAGTAGCTTGGGTAACAAGGAAACAAAACTGTGTTACATTATCTAGTACTTATCTCTATTCATAGACTTCATAGCAGTCACGGAGTCAGTGGAACTCAAAATCATTGGAATTTTCGATTTTGGTGACATTTTGAGTGAACAATCGATTATCGGAGTTTCATGGGTGCCACTGAAAATCTTACATTTATATAAACAACTAGTAGAATTTCCAAATTTTGTAAACTTTCAATTTTCTACTACAAGTGTCAAAGATATTCAGTGAAATCAATATGATGACTGTTATTTACGAAAACTTATAAATGAAATATTTTTCCTCTAATTCCTAGAATTTTGCACTCTAGATTCTACATTTTCTGCATTTAAATTTAAATGTACTTAAACTATATATTTGATTAAGGAGTTTAGAGAGAAAATGCACAGTTCAAGAACATTTTTGGTCAATAATTCACTATTTTAATTAAGCCGGTTCCTTTTGTTCTCACTTCCTATCCACATATCATTACACGGGTTCATTAATATCCGCGTAATTGCCTTTGCAATTAGAAACAATTGTTTATGTTCCTGCATCAAGTGGCAATTAAAAGTGCCTCCTCTAAAGACAATAAGATTATTTTGTTTGTCGGTTAGTCTTTGTTGTTATCAATATTGTTTTTAAGTATTTCCAATTCAATTTCATTCAATAATTCACTTAAAAGAGATGAAAAAAATCAATTTATTATTAAATTTGAAGATAAATGCACTACTATCGGGCGCTTCTACGATAAGAACGTTAAATAAATCTCAATAAAAGTCTAGTTCATTGGTGGTGCGTTTATTGAAATTGATTAAATTTGTTTCATGTCTGTGTGTCAATAAAAATGTCGTTGTTGAAGATTAAACCCGACTCCTATGGACTTTTCTATATTGGTTATTTATTTTTATTAACAAAATTTCAATAATAACTCATCTGCTTCTTACAATCTTTGAAGGGGGTGTCTCCTACATCTACACAGGGTGTTATAAATTGTGACATCTATTACCATATTTGATTTCAACTTTTCACTGTTTGCCTTAAGTAATGTCCTGGTTATTCTGCTCAAAAGTCTTTGAATAGGTGAACCCTCTGAGGTGAACCCAATGACGGGTTTCTATAGGATTATTTTTGTAGTTGAGGAAAGCAATCTGAAGTCCACACATTTTTTTACTGGGTGCGTTACATCATGAGTCGACGGGCAAATTGTTGTAATGACATCGGCGGTTAGTATTTTGAGCAACTTTTGTAAAATTGCATACTCTTACTAAAAGTAGTTTCCCCTGAAAATTTAACTAACACCTTAAAGTTTGTAGCCATAATCATATATTTATTTTCAACATTTTCACATATAAAATTGAATTTTATGTCAATGTGCTTCACACGTTTTCTGTTTTCAGGATTCAGGAAGTGCTATACAGCCCTGGTTGTCTTCAAACACTTTGAAAAACGATAAAACAAAATTCATATTTGACAACAATCTTTTAAACCACAATAAATCCTGGACAGCAGCACATAAAACCACTTATTCTGCTTCAGTAGAGTGTGTCAAAATTGTAGCAGCATTCATTCAGTCCTGTCTTCTACAAAGGCTGCATAAGAAATACAGTGTGTAGAGCATTAGACATATTATGTATCTATAAAACTGGGAGACTCTATATTTCTGTCTTGTATTTGAACATATTTCTAAGATAAATTCCTTTTTGAGTAGAGCGCATTCAAGCCGTAGAACTTATTACTGTAGCAGCTATGAAACTTAGGAAGTCAGTTCAGCATCTATGAAACTTGAAAACTCGATTATCTGTTTGAACAAAAGCTGACTCCAGAAAGGCTTGAAGGGCACTGATTTTCTCTACACAACATCAATGAAACTTGGAAACTCAATTTTTGTTTAATAATTTTTGAGATTACATGAATAAATGTATCATTTTTCTTCAGGGATAAGTACTATAGTAACTAATCAAAGTAGTTTGAGAAATACTTCAAAAACAACATAAGTTTTTTTCTAAATCCACTGGGCCCATAATCAGTTAGTGAAATAATAAGAAAATCAACAAGCTCAGTCAAATTGTATATAGATCCGGCCCTGGGTTCCCCTTTAATAACAAAATGTTTACCCAATTAGCAACAAATGTTTATTTATTTCGAACACTTGAACCTTACCAACTCTGAGAAGCAGGTTTGTTTGTTTACCCGTCTTTGGGTATCTAAAACGCACCAACCTTGTTTGATGTTTATTTTCGATAACTTTTAGTAACAACCTTATCGGGTTTTATTATCATTGTTCTGGTGGGTTTCGGAGTTAATCAAAAACGGTACTTAAATATAAGGTGTCAAATAATTTATCTCTTTGGAATTTTACTAGAATTTGTTTTAAACTTTCTATTAAGTAGACTCTCTTCCAGGTAGTTTCTAATATTTCAAAACATGGTTTATATTGGAAAAGTATGTCATGTGACATTTGCATCAAAACGATTTCCAGATATTCTAAGATCTAACTAGGCACTTTACCAATAAACAAATTTTGACAATACAAATTATGATTACTTACATTATCCTGTTGGGTGCCAGGATCCGCCGAACTATCCTGATTTGAATCTCCGGAAAAAATGGTCGAGAAACTCTTGATCGTCGGTGTTTGAGGCAAACTCTGCAACAATAATAGAAAATCTTAAATTTTTCCAGTTTATCTCAAAGTAGTTACATTTAATATTATTCGCTTAAAATACGTGTTGGAATTTGGGTCACCAGCAAATAGTTTTTAACGAGTGTATATCTTCTATCTGCCATATTATACAAACTATAATAAGCGCTTTATGGTTGTGTGTGTCTGCTAAAAGTGAAAGCGAATTTCGTATCGGATTAAATTGTTTAATTAAAAGCTATGGGACGTGACTTCCTATATTAATGCTAGAATAAATACAAATAATGACTTTAACTGAAATTAAGCCATACTTATTCAACAAGCAATGATCCACTACTTAGAGTAGATGATTTACTTCATTCGACTGCTAAGGCTGTCTACATTACAACTCTTGACTTGAAAAGTGGTTACCATCAGATACCAGTCAAAAAGGAAGACCAAGATAAGACTTCGTTTATTACTCCTTCTGGTACTTTTCGATACAATGTTATGCCTTTTGGATTGAGAACAGCACCCCCAACCTTTCAAAAACTTGTTGAGTGTGGTATTGAAAATCTTAGATTATTCATCTGTCGAGTCAGGCAAGAGCCGATACCAGTTAAAAAGTGCGAAAGATGTCTATGAATAAGACGCACTGTTTGTAGGATAAATAAGCAGGAGAGGGCGAGGATTTTGTTTGAGATAAACAAAGGTTCGCAATGGGCTCTAGGGTGGAAACCGAATAGCTCTCTCCTGCATTACGAACACTGACTGGAACAAACACAGTGCTGCTGTGAGTCCAAAGAATTTCGACGAAGGCACTGCATCAAGAATGTGATGAGACAGAGAAATATCAGAAATGTTGATATTTTTGAATGTTATAAGAAAGATTAAGTGAGAATGTGTTAGCGTCGCACTATGTTTTTATCTGAAATGATTTGGTTGTGACAGACTGCAGGCTCAACGTGGCTCCATGTAATTAAATCATTATCGGCGAAGGCTGTGAATGATCTCGATATATCCAGGGACATTTACATAAATGAGGAACAACAGTGGTCCCAATCTAGAGCTCTGAGGCAATGAGTTCTTTCTGAGAGACTTCACCATTGACGGATACCACTTGTTGCCTATATTTCAGATAACACTTTAGTTTTAGTTTAGAATTTAGTTCTGTGCCTGAATTCATTTTTTCAATCAATACAGAGTGGTTGACACAGTCAAAGGCTTTTGACAAAGGTAGTTCTTTGAGGATTTTAATTGAGATCCCATCACTACCAGTTACAATAATTTTGTTCTTTATGTCGTTTATTGCTTTGACCATTTCATCACAGGTTATTTGTCTGAACCTGAAGGTACTATTAATGTTAACGTTAACTAGGTAACTTCTGCGGTTGTCATTTGATGATATTATCTCAATTAAGTTATCTGTTATAGTAGTACAACAGTAGTAGTTATTGAATTCATTTGAATCTAATCTAGGCAAGAGTTGTCAGGAGTCAAAGTTCCTACTTTCATCTGACTCAGGATCGAATAATATTTAGAGAATCTTCGTTCTGTCGCTATCAGTTTTCTACTAGCAACTGCTATGATGTAAATTTCCTTGCCAGAACTGAGGAGAAGGGCTCTCATTACACCAAGGGGGAGCAATTTCCAACCTGACTCTTTGGAAATACATAGAGAAGAAACATCGTAGATTTCATGATTGCCCATCAAATCCAGCCTGGTAAAGCCGAACCCAGCTAGTAACGGCTAGGAAAACCCTAGGAAAAGTACAGACTCGCATATCTATGCATAACAGGAGCAATGAGAACATGCCCAACCGCGGCAATGGAAGTCATCCTAGACCTAACACCACTTCACACAATAGTGAAGCGGGTTGCCAGTGAATCATATCTAAGACTGGCGAAGATAAGTCTACAAGGGAAAACGCACTTTGGCAGAGCTTTCCCTCATAGAATGTATCCAGTCCCTTAAAGCAAACACCATCAAATGGTTCACAGACGGCTCCAAAACTGCTGAGGGGACAGGAGCCGGAGTATTCGGGCTACGAACAAGATACTCGGAGCCAATGGGCAAATCACCAAGCATATTCCAAGCCGAACTTCATGCGATCGGAAAATGCGTGCAGTTCAACCTGAACAGAAGGTACCGAAAACGAGAAATTGTAATAATGCCAAGCAGCTATCAAAGCATTGAGCTCGCCGGTAATCAATTCTAAGATAGTATGGGAATGTCTACAGAAACTCAATGAGATGGGGAAGGAAAACAAAGTAACCCTACTCTGGGTTCCTGGACACATAGGAGTCGAGGGCAATGAATGCGCAGACGAACTTGCAAAAACGGGAGCGGTCACTCCCTTCACTGGGCCAGAACCATTCTGCGGCGTCGGAAATACGCACCTGCAAGAAATCCTCAAAAAAAAAGAGAACCGGCTAAGGAACAAACAATGGCTAGACCAATCAGGACTACGACAGGCCAAAGATCTACTGGGTAGCTACAACCAAAAAAGATCTGAACTGCTGGTCAACCTTAGCAAAAAAAGTCTCAAAACTCTTAACCGGGTTTCTCTCGGGACATTGCAGACTGAATAAGCACCTACATAATCTGGGGTTGGAAGAAGGTAACACTTGTAGATTCTGTGAAGACGGTGAAGAAACACCTCACCATCTTCTACTGAACTGCAATGCCGTAAGCCGCTCAAGAATGAAGAACTTGGGAAGTCCCCTTATACAGCTGGAAGACATTCCAGCCCTGGAACCGCTAGACATCCTAAAATTCCTAAAGGACCTAGGACTAGAGGGGCTGCTTTAAGCAGGAAACCCGAACTTAGCAGCAGAAGGAGGGGTACAATAGATCAACCCTGGTCGCCAGTGCAACTGACACCTCCAACACATACATACATATACATACATACATCCTTCTGCCAGAGTTTTCTTCCGAGTCGTTTCATTGAAACAAACTGCCTCAAATACTACATATAGCAGAGTGACAACAACATTTCAATTGATGTTCTATACGTTTCTTCGATGGTCTCAATAAGGAAACCTTTCACAAACGGAGTTCCAAATTGGCTACCTACTAATCTGGATAGGATCCTTTTTCAACCTATAAGGTTTCCAGGAGAGAGTAAGTGAAGTACTCAAGGACTCTTCACTTACTTTTCTCTTGTTTATGAACTAACTGTTTCTAATATGTACCTAGATATAAAAACAAGGGTATTTCTAACCAAAATATCCCAGATGGTTCTCCATTGAAGTGGTTTGTGGCGAGACATAAAAACAAAAAAACACTGATAAAAAGAGGTCAGGCAGATAATATATTAATGAAAAAGAAGAATATGTTATCTTAAGATAATTAATAAAAGATCGGACTAAATTAGAATATGAAAATCACATTAAATCCTTAGAGATAAATTTAAAAAAAGATCCTACAACCTTTAGGTCCTATATTAAAAGCAAACCTCAGAGTAGTGGTAGATATAACTAATATGAAATTAGATGTTCAGACCTTTGTAGATGCAAGAGATTGCCATTATTGCCAAAGAGTTCTCCTCTGTTTATGATGCTGGACAGGACTCTTATGTTGAGGAAGCTAGATATGACTGGGGTAATTTTGAATTTTCCCCAATAACCAGGGATATTGTTATAGGTAGTATAAATTGCCTAAAGTCTAAGAAATCAACTGGGCCGGGATATACCATCATGCATCTTTGAGAGATGTAGGGAGAGTTTGGCTGATCCGTTGGATCATATTTTCAATTTTGCATTGGGAAAAGTCGTAAAGGTGTCCGGTTCGAAATTACTGAGTGTTCCAGTAACATCTGGAGTTTCACAGGGTAGCGAATTGGGCCCCTTGTTGTTTTTAATATTCATAAATGCTCTCATAGTAACTCCTAAAGATTAGGTACTCTACGCTAATGATTTCAGTCAGGAGGTCTGTAGGCCGGTTTCTCAATAGCAGGTCACCCCCGGGTTAAGGATAACTCCAGGGTAAACATAGCAACTGGACACGCTTAGCTTGGAGTTAAAACCAACCCGGAGGTGACTCGCTATTGAGAAACCGACCCTAAGTCTTTTTTTCAGAATGATCTTGATTCTGTAGTTGGGTGGTTTGGCGCCAACAAAATGAAGATTAATATTGGTGAATGCAAAAGCATGAACTTCACCCGAAAACAAAATTATTTCATTCAGGATTATTCGATAGAAAATGCACCCATTGAAGATACGAAGACACGGTGCTCGATCTGGGTGTGATATTCCAGAAAAATCCTAAATTTAATTTGCACTTTGAGAGTATCGTCAGCATGTCTTGGGCTTTATAATAAGAAACAGTAAAATTTTTGAAATATCAACTGTTATTAAATTATACAATTCACTGGTTCGCCCGAAACTTGAGTATGCTAGCTATTAGTGTGGTTTTCCCTCGCAATCACAAACCAGGATCAGATTGGAAAGGTTCAAAAGCGTTTTCTGAGATATTTGTACGTTAGAAAAAAAAACCAATGAATACCCTTTCAGAATTTCCTAACAAACAATGTTGAATAGCTTTAAGTCTCAAACTTTAGAATTTAGACGTCGAATTCAAGCTCTAATCTTAATTTATAACATTATAAACTCTAAGCAATATTAGCACTGTGATCTTGTCAGGCATATCAGTTTGTAGGTTCCATATTCCTGAAGTTGGTCTAAGAATAGTTATTGGGGGATTATTTTGGATAAACCCTAATAATGATTTGTTTCCTTTATTTAACATGCAGAAAATTTGACAATGAATTCTTACCCATGTATAATGAAATGAATATGTTTCACTGTAGTTTAAAACAGATGATTGCATTGATAGGATCTTAGACTTTCCTCCTAGTTCTAAGTTTTTTGCCGTTTTTTCTGTGTTTTTAGTTTTTCAATATTGTCAATTTTACTATTAGGTTGCATGTTCTTCTACTTAACATGTAATTTCCAACAGGATCATTTACATTATAATCGCTTTAAACAGAAGATGCAGCCTACAGATCATATGCACCAATGGGAAATTTACAGGACGGAGAACCTGAAGCCTCGAGCAGACTGGATTCAGAAAATACTTTAGCATCACAGATCATCTACACACTATAAGAACACTAATAGAAAAGTGCATCGAGTCTAACGTACCACTCCATGTGGCCTTCGTTGATTTCCCGATAGCATTTGACTCGGTCGAAATATGGGCAGTATTAGAATCCTTGAAAAACGCGAGAATCGATTCAAGGTACACGAACAACTACAGAAATGAAACTCGAGGACAAGACAAAAATGAACCCCGTAAAACTTCAAAGGGGAGTGAGGCAAGGAGACAGTCAAACTGCTCCAATAGCCAAATGACGTACGCAACTGCCTTAAAATGAACTATGTACAACAAAACAAAAATAATGAGTCAAAATCAGGCAATTATAGCAATATAGAACCAGAGGATAGAAAACGTCGAACACTATCATATACTTGGACCATGACATCAGACTAGGAAAACTAAACCAGGATGCTGATATAAAAAGAAGAATACAACTAACGTGGGCCGCTTTTGGCAAACTAGAATACATCTTGAAAAACAAATTCATTCCCATAAACCTAAAAAGAAAACTATAGTACCTGTCAGAGAAGAAGATTGTGATAAAACCGCCTTTGACACGCCATTTGGACTTTATCGATATAAGACGATGCCTTTTGGTCTATCCACAGCTCCAGCAACGTTTCAAAAGCTAATAAACCGTTTTTGTTCAGGTTTTCCACATATTCAGATGTTAGGATACCTTGATGACGTAATAATTTTATCCACGACTTTTGAACAATACATCAAAGACTTAAGTGATGTTTTCAACCGTCTACGCATTTACAAGTTGAAGGTGAACAAGAAGAAATGCACTTTTGTACTTCAGAATTTAAATATGTTGGTCATCTTATTGGACGAGATGGTATCAACGCGGATCCGGAAAAGGTTGTCGCTATCACCCATCTTGCCGCATCCAAGAACGTGAAACAAGTTCTCAGTTTTCTTCAGACTTGTTCATGGTTCCGTAGATTCATTCCAAACTTTGCCAATGTCTCCAGACCGCTAATAGTAACTTGACAAGGAAGAATGTTTCGTGGTCGTGGGATTTGGCACAACAAGAATCGTCCGAGAAGCTCAAAGTTCTCCTGACTACAACACCCATTCTGCGACAAGCCGATCGTTCTAAGCCATACATCATTAAGACTGATGCCAGTGCCTATGCTATTGGTGCATGTTTGCTCCAGGGAGGCGAAAGACCGGTAGAGTACGCAAGTCGTTCACTTACTGTGGCCGAGAAGAACTATAGCTTTACTGATCGGGAAGCCCTTGCACTTGTCTACGCAGTCAACAAGTTTCGCGGATACATAGAAGGTTAACCAGTTTATGTCAAAACTGATCATCAACCTCTCCGATGGCTTATGACATAAAAATCACCAATTGGTAGATTGGCCAGGTGGGCACTTCAACTCAACTGCAAGCTTTCGACCTCAAGATTGACTACATATCAGGACGTACGAATGTCGTCGCAGATACATTATCAAGACCACCTATTGACTCGGTTAATAATGACCAGTCACTTATAGCTGTCGACACAGTTACTATTTTGTTACCTAATATGTCGGCTGCAGAGACCAGAACCCAGCAGTTACATGATCCATACACTAGGAGCATTATTATCGACTGTTTCGAGAATGCTGGTTTTGATACTGTCGACTTTGCCAAATGGACCAATCGAGGCTACCTTATGGTTCAGGGGATTTTACACCGTTACGCCAATGACTCCGATTCTGACGAAGCCCAATTAGTTGTTCCTCAAGATCGAGTAGGGTCTATACTCCATGAGTTCCATGATTCTCCACTTGCAGGACACTACGGCGTCGACAAAACTTTGAAACGAATCTCACAAAGGTTTTACTGGCCGACGATGAGAAAAGACATTACTGAACACATCCGAAAATGCATAGAATATCAGAGATACAAACCAACGAATCTTAAGCCTTCTGGTTTGACTCAGACTCCTGTTCTGGTTCAGCGATGTGAAACCTTAGCTATGGATTTATTTGGACCACTGCCTAAAGCAGAAACAGGTGAAAGGTGGGGTTTCGCTATAGAAGATACTGCCACCAAATGGATAGAGTTATTTGCACTGGAAAATGCTACAGCTGAAGCTTGTGCGAAGTGCCTCATCGATGAAGATATGAAGCTCCCAAAAAGGTCATCAGTGAAAATGGCACGCAGTTTGTCACAGGTGTCATGCAACAAGTTGCTCACTGCCTCGGTTTTACCCAAAATCTTATACCGTTGTATCACCCAGCGTACAATCCTGAAGAGAGAAGAAATATAGATCTGAAGACCCAGTTAGCAATACTTGTGGAAAAGGATCATATGAAATGGAAAGAAGCCTTGTCTTCTGTGAGATTTGCGATGAACTCTGCCAACAACCTATCTACTGGTTACAGCCCTGCCCATTTATATGTTTTGCCCGTGAACTGAGAACCTTGCATGATGTCGAACGTGTTCTCCGAGCTATCGTTAATAGCGAGAACTTCATTCCTGAGATCAACCCAAAATTAAAGATTGTTGAAAAATGATGCGTCCAAGATGTATGCTGCGTAATAAACCATTCACTATAGGAGAAAGGTTTTGGTCAACTCGCATGTGTTGAGCAAAGGATCGCAGTCTTACACATCCAAGTTTGCCTCTAGAAGAGATGGCCCCTATATAATCCTGAAGATAGTATCGCTAACCTCTTATCAGATTGCCTCCACCTAATCTACAACAGTACCGGTGGGTACATACCATTCCTGTTAGGACTATTCGACATAGAGGTCGTCCACCTGGTAGAAGGACTTCCAAGGTTCGTAGACCCAAACATTTTTTTGACGATGTCTAATTTTGTTGGAACTTTGGCGGGCGAGACGTCACACTTGCGAAACCATAGCCACTACCGTTGCCGTAGCTATAACTACTACCATGTTTGACAAGTGTCATCAATCAGTCAGTCAGTTTGGGCGCGTTCTTTTATTCAGCAATGGATCCATCTGCTGCCAGCATTATGAGACAGATATTCCTATTTTCTATGAGCTAGACAAAAATAGGCTGATTACTAATGGATCCACCGCTGAATAAAAGAAAGCGCCCTTTCCCCGATCAAGTTGTCAAGTTCATTATCAATGGCAGCAAATATCCAGTTAAGTTCCTCAAAATTTTGTAGAGGGCGCGAGTGAACTTGGAGTGCTTCAAATTTTGGCGGTAAATGTCAATAGTTTTAAACCATTTAAATTGAGTAGAAGGAAAGATGACTACAATATGAACAATGGACAATGAATAAGTTAAAATATCTTCCAAAGCATTCAGTGGGCCTTAGAGAATATTTTTAAAAGTGTCAGCGTCAGCTTGTCTTGAAACCACACATCAAAATTAACTTTTGAGGTTAAAATTACAATCAATCATTTACGCGCCAAAATTTAAATAGCTCCAAGTACGGAAGCGCCCTCTTCAACTCAACTGTCAATAGTACATGCCATTATCAGTAAGGTGGGTTCGGCTTGCTCACTCCGAGTGACTCCATTCGCACTCCAGCCGTTCGGGTTATTGCTTTTTACAGTATTAGGGGTGACTCCATTAGCTCTGTTCACTCCACTCCAACTCCGCGCTGAATAGCCGAACCCAGCTAGTATAAATTATTGCTATTATTTCGCTGACTCTGTATTTTTTTCCAGTTAAATTGTTAAATAAAAACATTAAAAAACATGTGTAGTGCATAGTGTAGGAGTTCCCTTCGATACCCGCTACACAATTTAATTTTCAATTTCATTTTTCCTGCAGCTTAGGACAATTTATAAATATGGCAGATCTGCAGTAAGTCTCCGCAAGTGACCTTAAAATGGGATTCAATGTTTGGGGCATCTTTTAATCATAATATGTATAAAATACCTAACTATTTTATGTGTTAATCTATGTTATCATCTTTTAGGCAACTCACGTTTCATTAATTTCGACCTAGTTTTTTTTCCATCAACGTGCTATTCATAAATAGGAAAATAGAAAAATGTTTTTCTCAGCCTTATAAATAAAAATGTATGGCTCTTACCCTTCGATTCGAACAGTCCTTGGGCGTCAGATCGGAGGCCACAGTTCCAAATATGGTCGGCTATAGAAAAAAAAATCAATATCAGCTAAAAGGCAACTCATTAAGTCTCGTGAAAACTTTATAAAATTACATAAAAAATTTGTTGCTGATAAAACCCCCGCGCTATCGAGACTAATCGATCTAAGAAAGCCACTTTGCGTAATAGAAAAAGTTTCTTCATCAAAAGTTTCTCTTACCAAATACCCATTAACGTAACCATTAGGCGGCATGCTGGCGCATTTGCTCAGCTGCTCGCAAATGTAATCGGTCTCGTCGTACGAGCTCAACGAATCCATACTGCTCTGAGTAAAGTCCACTTTGTCAGTGGCACCCGAGCTCATGTGTCCTGAGTCTTTGCTCAGACACTGTTTCGGACCGGGCCGGTAGCTCGTCGGCGGCTCGTGCTCGGATTCGTAGCTGGATGCGCTCGAACTGCTACCGAACTTTGACCATTTCGAGTTGTTGGTGAAAGTGTCGTTGGGACTACCTGAGAAAATTTATGGTGGACTTGACACATAAATTTAAAAATTCTTACCGTTATATTTGCCATTCATAAGTTCAGCTGTCGGAATGATTTTGATTGGTTCGAAAATTTCGGTCATGGCACTTGAGTAATACGAGTGGTCTTTAGTTTCTCGACTGCGCTCGTCCACTACTTTACCATCTCTGGACACTGTCACTTCTTCTTTGATTACAGTTGTGCTTTTTACCGATAAGGAAGTGTCTAGTTTAACTGGTGCTTTCAATATACCACTGAAAATATTGTTGATAAATAACTGTCGCTAAAAAATTACTGTCAAATTTAAAATTATCAGGATTTGAGAACAAAATTATCAAATGCCAAGGAAAATTATCAGAAAAAGTTTCTGTCAACTTTTTTTGACTTTTTATCTGTATTTTCATTTTCGGGTTCTAGCTGGGACTCTGGCAATTGTAGCTCTCAATAAGAGCTTCAAAAAAGGTTATTCAAGACTTCGAGCCCAAGGGCTTCGTTTTCAAGATAATCGGCTTTGAAGCTTTTGCAAAATTTGAGACAAAGTTTTAATTTTGAGCCTCAATATCTTCAAAAGTATTTAAGATATAGAAATGAATCTTATTTTATCTTGAAGATAATTTAATTTTGATTCAGAATATATAATTTTACATTGTATTTGTTATAATAATAACCGAGTAATCAGCAATTTTATGAAAGAATATTAGATTATTGGAATTTTTTGAGCCCAAAAATTGCAAATAAGTATCGTTTTTATTTTTTTACAAGCCTTAAAACCCATAAAACAAAATTGCGTAAATGTTTATCCACTAATTTTTACCTCCCCTTTTGATTAGTGAAGTCAAAAATTGCAAAATTCAAAAATTTAAAAATTCGAACTTTTCCAAAGGGGTTTGCATGGAAATTGGATTTTCAAATATTTCAAATGCTTGTATTTTGGAAACCAGTGAAGCTATTGGCGTGAATCTTTTGCCCAATTGTAGCTCTTAATAAGGGCTACAAAAAAGGTTATTTAAGACTCCGAGCCCAAGGGCTTCGTTTTCAAGAGAATCGACCTGGAAGCTTTTGCAAAGTTTGAGGTAAAGTTTCAACTTTGAGCCTCAATATCTTCACAAGTATTTAAGATATAGAATTGAATCTTATTTTATCTTGAAGATAATTTAATTTTGATTCAGAATATATTATTTTACATTTACTTGTTGCAATAATAACCGAGTAATCAGCAATTTTGTGAAAGAATGTCAGATTATTGAAATTTTTTTGAGCCCAAAAATTGCAAAAATCGTTTTTATTTTATAACAAAGCTTTAAAACCCAAAAAGGAAAGTTGCGAAAATGCTTTTCTACTAATTTTAACCTCTTCACTCGATTGATGAAGTCAAAAATTCGAAAAACTGAAAATTTAAAAATTCGAACTTTTCCAAAGGGGTATGCCGAGGGGTAGTTAACTAGTCAAAATTCGTGTACAAGTTAGTCAAAATCTCAGAAAATCTCATAAGATCTACTGAAAATCCCTAAAAATCTTTGAAATCCTTAAAAATTTAACAAAATCCCACAAAATCTCTTGAAATTGCATAAAATCCTACAAAATCTAACAAAATTTCATTAAAACCAAAAAAAATCTTGCAAAATCTTATAAAATCATTAACATTCCTAAAAAATATTTCCTTTGAAATTCCCAAAAATTCTTTGGAATCCCTAAAAATCTGTTAAAGTCTATCAGAATTCCATAATTTAGTGGAATTTCGATAGAATTATGTTATTCTGAAAAAGATATTACTTACATGTGAAATTTTGAGTTTACATAGAATTCACAATAAATTTTAGTTCCTCTAGAATTACATGAAATTTCAGTGAAATTACGATCGAATTACACGAAATCTTGAATGAATTGCATGGAGGAATTCTAAACAATTATATGAAATAACACCGAAATTTCCACCATAAAATTTCAGTTCTTACTGAATTTTAGTAAAATTCCAGAAAATTCCACAAGTGGAATGCCGATGAATTTCCGGCTAAAAACATGGAATTTCGGTGATATTCCGAAAAATTCCCATGTAATGACATGAAATTTCAATATATTTCGGTGAATTTTTCAAGAAATTACTTGAGGTTTCATTAATATTCCCAGAAATTTCTGGCTATTAAAAGAGAATTTCAGTGAAATTCCGAAAAATTCTTATGAAAATAAATGAAATTTCGAAAAATTCCTTGAAGTTTCATTGGACTTCAGAGAAATCTTCGGCTATGAACGACGAATTTCAAAATATTCTCATAAAATTTTAGTACCTATATACCAAGGAATTTTTTAGAAATTACATGAAATGTCAATGAAATTCCGAAGAATTTTATGAAAATTTTGTCGAATTCCAGGATATTTCGGTGGTGAAATTTGGGGGAATTCCAGTAAAGTTAAAACAAAAAATTATGGAATTTTGAAATTTTAATGGAATTCCGAAGAATTTCATGATATCCTATGTTGTAATTTCGGAAAAATGTTGTCCAAGAATCCCATAAAATCTTCTGGTAAAATTTTAATGAATTTCTATGGAATTACTTAAAATTTTCGCAGAATTCCTATGGAATAACTTGAAATTTTAGCGAAAAATTTCATGAAATTTCATAGTGTAATTCCGAGGAATTTTTGTTCAAGAATTCCATTTAATTTTATTGTGGAATTCCATGAAATCTTATGGTGAAATTTAGAAAAATATTATGAAATCTTATAGTAAAATTTTCAGGAATTCCCGTTTTTCTGTTCAAATTTATCACTTGAATGGAATTTTGAAGAAATCCATAAAATCTTCTGGTGAAATTCTAAGGAATTTCTATGGAATGACTTGAAATTTTAGTGGAATGGCGAAGAATTTCATAAAATCTTAATTCTGGTGAAATTCTAAGGAATTTCTATGGAATTGACTAAAATTTTCGCGGAATTTCCATGGAATAACTTGAAATTTTAGTGGAATTCCGAAGAATTTCATGGAATCTTATATCGTAATTCCGAAGAAAAAAAAATTCCAAGAATGACATTGAATTTTATGGTGTGAAATTTTTGCGGAGTTTCTATAGAATTCACGATAAATTTTAGTTCCTCTCAAATTACATAAAATTTCGAGAAATTACATGAAATTTTAGTGGTATTTCGATCGAATTACATGAAATCCTGAATGAGTTTCATGGAGAAATTCTAAACAATTACTTGGAATTACACCGAGATTCCCAACATCAAATAGACTTTGATGAAATTTCAGTGCTCGTTGAATTACATAAAGAATTTTAAAAAAGTTTCAAAAAATTACATGAATTCCGAGGAATTTTCGTCGAATTATATGGAACTCCGATGCAATTGCATAGAATTCCAAGGGATTGTCAGGAAATTACATGAAATTTAAGTGGAATTTTGAACAACTCTTTCATAAAGAATTCCAGTAAAATTCCGAAAAATCCTAATGTAATTACATGAAGTTTTATTTTTATTCCAAGGAATTCCTAGTTAAAAATATGGCATTTTAGTGAAATTGAAATTCCAAAAAATTCCCATCGAATTAATAAATTTTAGTAAAATTAAAGAAAATTTCACAAGTGGAATTCCGAGGAATTTCCGGCTAAAAACTTTAAATTTCGGTGAATTTTGGAGAAATTCCCATGTAATGATTCAGTGAAATTTCAAAAAATTCTCATAAAATTTTAGTGAAATTCCGAGGACTTTCTAAGAAATTACAGGAAATGTCAGTGAAATTCCGAAAAATTTTATGAAAATTTTGTGTAATTCTAGTATATTTCAGTGGTGAAGTTTTGGGGAATTTCAGTAAAGTTTTTAAAAAATTATAGAATTTGGAATTTCTATAGAATTTTGGAGAATTTCAGTGGGATTTCGAAAAAAAAAAGTGAAATATTCGCAAATTATATATGTATAATTTCACTTTTTGTCGACTTACATAAAATTTCGATGAAATGTCGAGTGAAACTCCAAGGAATTCTCGTCGAATTACATACATGGAATTCCTTGAAATCTTATTGTGGAATTCCAGTGAAATTACATGGAATCCGAAGAATTCTCTTGGAATTGAACAGAATTTCCATGGAACCACGAGAAATTTTGACGAAATTCCGAAGAAATGAATTAAATTTTAGTGAAATTCTGAGTAATTTCTGTCGAATTACATAAAATTTTAGTGGATTTCCGAGAAATTTCATTAATTTTTTTACAGTAATTCGTTATTGGCATAAAACTTTGACTAGATCTGGGACTAAAACACTCAAAACTAGTCAAAACCAACAACCACCTTCAATTTTTTAATAAATTTTTACAGCTTTTAACTTAAAAGCGCTTTTTAAAACTGGTCACTTTTAAGATTCTGCATTCTAGCCATACAAATTTTTAAAGTTACCAGTTTTAAAAAGCGCTTTTAAGTTTAAAGAGGATGTTGCATACAGCGATTAATTTTTAACTAGAAATTTGAAAAATCTATATTAAAATTGTAGTTTCAATAAATTATGGTAGATTAGCTTGTCATTATCGATTATTGAATCGTAGTCAAAATTATGGTAGAATTCGATAATTATCGGGTCATTGGCAACACTGATTATTTATTGTCCATTTCTTACCTGTCAATGAGTAATTTGTTCAACAAATCACAAGGCGGCACTTGTCCAGTAATTAAAGCTTCCTTAATAGCCATGCCATCTTTACCTTCTAGCGCAACAGGAATACCGTTAATGTACAAAACCTCTTCTTCGCGGATCGAAGATTTCTTTTCGCAGTCCACTACTTTAGCTCCTTTGCCCAAGATGGCTTCGACCGTTTCTTGGATCTCTGGGTCGTCCATCAAAAGATATTTGAAGCTAAAATTTTTCTATTATTATACAAAAGTTTGCTAAATCTTATTAGAAGAGGAGCAATAATAGTTCTGTGTAAGTAACAACAGCGCACAAAGTCAAAGTGAACTTATTCCGATTCGGTTAATTGAAAAATCGGTTAATCGACCATTTTATGCCGTAATTGGTAATCAGTTTTATTTTTTGCCGGTCAAGCGAAGGTCGTCTACGCGATCCCACGCTCCATTGTAAAATATTTAGATTGCGTCATCTACGGTCGCTTCAAAAAGTTATAAAATTTACACGTAGATATGACATCGCACCCCCATATGCATTCATAACCGTATGCACTACACGGAAAAGCGCTTCAGGCAACCATATCGTGAGCACATTCTTATGCAAAAGGTTTTTTTTTTTTATTTGGTATTTGCGAATACCGGTTCGGAACTTGCAGTTGTCTCGCTGAGTTTATTTTTCGCGTCTTCGATGCGCTTTAAGACCGTTTCACACTGTTGCAGCATTTAATCGAAATTTAATTAACTTCAAGAAAAGTTTGTAGAAAACAAAGTCTGCATTTGTAGCGTCTAATCACAAAAACAATATACAAAACAAAACACTCTTAAGAAAGAAAAATTGTTGCAGTTGAGTTGCAACTTATGATGGAAACTTTTTGAAAATATTTTGTGCAAATTACTGATAGTAGGAATTAGGAAAGTTAACTGCATGCAAACTCGTTACGGCAAATTTACACACATTGAATTCTTGTAAAAATCGGTAGTTGTGAGTATCGCCATCTGTTGGGCCTATGCAAAGTCCAGTTGAGATGTACTGTAATGTGCCAAAATTTTAGTAATGGGACTTTTTTTAATTTCATTTTCTTCACTGTACCCTGAGGTTAGTTGGTTAGTCGTAGGGAGAATCTAGGGGCTGTGGCCTTCCATACACTGCAGCCTGTTGGCTTATTATGCACCCCAATTTGCTTTCTGTCTTGCAAGAGTATCGCTGTACCATTAATTGATTTTCTTAAATGACAGAACATTCTTTCATGTGGAGTAGAATTAGTTGCTGTACATATCTTTACACATACACATCTTCAACACATCAAATTTCCTGAGCGCAAGGCTAGAGTAGAACCTTCTGGATTATATCATTTGACATAAATGAAAATCCTTGATCTCTGTGAATATATCCAGGCATTCCAAAAATGGAAAATAAGTTGCTTAGACACCGAATCATCGTCTCAGAAGTCATGTCTTGGCATGGATAGGCGAATGGAAAGAGAGAATACTCGGTCAATGATAGTGAGTATATATTTGTTCCTTGAATTAGATGGAACAGGGCCTTAGATATTCTCTCGAAAGCCAAAGTTGCTTTGATGAATGTCCCTTGACTTCTAGTAAATTTGGGTTTGAGTTCTGCACAGACTGGGCATCAAGACACTGACATAATACGAATATCTTCTACAAAATAGGGAATATTGCGAAATCGTACCCTGTGGACCATTCTAGTGATTCTAGAATCCAGGATGACGCAAAGCTTGATATAAATCGGTGTTTAGTATCAAACATAAAAGATACAGATTTTTGATCAGTAACCAGCTGAAAATGACGACCAATCAGAAAATGTCTCCACTTTTTAATCGCTTCGACTATGGATTAAGCTTCTTTTTCAACTGATGAATGATTTTGTTCACACTTACTTAGTGTTCTCGAGAAAAATGCAACTGGCCTTCTTGCTTGACTCAAAATGGCAGCAATGGAATATTCCACCAGGTATCCACTTTGAGGCAAACATCCCAAAAGCTCTATTCAAAGACTGAGAGTCTTCAGGTACAGGTGGTTTTCGTAGAAGTTCAAGTCTAACTGGATCAGGTTTCAAGGCATTATTCTCGATCAGATATCCAAGAAGTTTGATTGATTTTAGGGAGTAAGAACTTTTCTTTTCGTTTATGGTAAAATTGTATTTTCTTACAAGTGAAAATTCTTTTAAATTTTCATCATGGTCTACTTGATTTCTATTGCTTATCGTAATATCACCTTAATATGCGTAGACGCCTTCAAGATTCTCTGATTTTATTATGTAGTTTATTACCCGCTGAAAACACGCAACTCCGTTTGTCGCACCAAAAGGAATTCTTCGGAACTGATATAATTTACCATCTGCCTCAAAAGCAGTATACTGCTTTTCGTCGTCACGTATGGGAACTTGGTGATACGCACTTTGTAAATCTATAGTACTGAAAATCTTGAATATCGCCCTAGCACGAATTATATCTTCAATATAGGACAGATGTTAAGTATCTAAATATGACAACCTGTTAATGATTTGAGAGTAATCGATCACAATTTTGTTTTTTGTGCGTTTCATTTTTCGTGTGCCCGCTAAGGAGAGTTACTTTCTTCTATGATTTTATTTAAAAGAAGGTTTCTTATTTCAATAGAAATAAAGTGTCTATCTTCTGGTGAAAATCGTCTAGACTTTGTTGATAGATTTGAAAATAGTGTATAGGCGGATAAATTTTTAGGAACGTCAAACTACAAATCAAGAATGAGTTATCAATATGCAAGGAAGGCTTAGAACCTCCAAAAGATACTTCAAGGGTTAAATGCTGTCTATACAATGACTTCAGCACATAAATCAGAAAGAATTGATAAACGTTCTGTATGTATATGCCCAATCGTTTCTAAGTTTACAAAGCAATGACTTGATATTTGAGACTGTAAGGCTGTTGTGGCCATTAGTATATATTCAGTGCTTGAATGTATAGGTACATCGATAAATGAGGCATAAGATTCATAAATGTATGTTGTCTGTAACTACTAAAGCATCAGTAAAGACATTGTTTAGTTCAATTTTGATAAGGCATTTGGTTAAACTTCCAAGTGCCGCACAAAGAAGCTCAGAAGCAGGTATAATTGAGGCAGAAGATTTGACTTTTCTTTTGCCTTGGAAAAATGTCCACGTTTACCCCATTCAGTAAACGTTGAATCTTTAGCAGGGCATAACGTGCGATAATGTCTTTTAGTACCTTCACAGAAATAACATTTGTACACTTTCGTAGCAGCAGAAATAAGGTCTTCTTCATGTGTACTTTCAGATTGAATTGAGTTATTCATACCTTGAAAGATGCTGTATGCTTCTGAATGTTTTTGTGCCAATTCTAGAGATAGAGCTTGATTCTTGGCTTCATCAAGTTTCAAAATAGTATTCTTCAACAATCGTTGTCGAATTTTGGGAAGAGCTTAAGCCACTCATGAAAGAATCTCTAATATAGTCGTTTTGACTTTCTTCAGTGCTGACAGCTTTGAAGTTACACTCTTCACTTAGATGTTTTAGTTCTTGTAAGTACTGATCAACAGTCTCTCCAGGTTGCTGCTTCCTAGAGGTAAGGCAGTGTCTGGCAAATATTTCATTTTTAGGTTTAATGAGAAATGAATTCAAAATCTTAATAGCTTCTGAGTAAGAAAAACAGCAGGATATATGCTTATAATTGTTGTGGCTTACATAGTTCACTAGAAGTTTCAGTTTTTCTTTATTTTCTAGCTTATTAACGGATGATATGAAATTGTTGGAAGTTGCTTTCCCGCAGTTTCCAGTGAGTCCACTCTTTTTGGAGAGTTTCAATCAGCGACGAAGTTTTTAAGTATTTTGTTTTGTGAATTGTTTATTTCTGTCTTTGTATTTGGTGTTTGTTTTTTATAAATTCTTCTATAGTCTCTATCTCCAGGTCTTTGTGGATGTCTACGTTGCGTTGCGTACAAACCATGAGACGTCTGTTAATCTGCGTAGTAGTTAGTTTATTTCGAAAAGTCTGTAGTTTGAGTCTTGTTATTTGTTTGTAGTGTTTTCTTCTTTAAATTTACTTTTCTGATGTATCAGTGGCTTAAGCATGAAAGCTGCTACTTTACATTGTACTATTTTTGTCTTGGAATCCAGATTCAGTAAAAATCTTGGAATAGAAAAGAAAAATGATCAAATTTCCCTAAAACTCTTGTCTCTATTTCTCTTCTCTTTAGTTTCGATTTCCAACTATTCCAGGCTCTTGAATTTCTGTTTTCATCCAAATTTCTGTTTATAAAAGAATCAAGAAACAGTCAAGAACCTGGAATAAAATTTCTTTTTCACAGTCAAAAGCCTGGAATAGAAAAGAAAAATTATCAAATTTTCCTAAAATTCTTGTCTCTATTTATCTTCTCTTTGGTTTCGATTTCCAACTATTACAGGGTCTTGCTTGAATTTCTGTTTCCGATGTTGTCACATCCCCTTTCACACTTCTGTCTTCCGTCCCGTCCCATTTCTTGAAATTTACCCTCAAACCGCCAGTATAGATGTTTATACATCAAAAATCAGAAAACACATTTTGGTTTACTCTAAATCAATTCAGCAATTTTGAAATTTGGTTTGGCTAGCCAGAGTCCAGAGTTTCTGAGGGCTCAGAATTTTCAAATTAACAAGCACAGGCACAAGTGTCACAGTGCACAGATAAATGTACTTAGAGTACCTCCCTGTAGGTACTCTAAGTATCTTGGCCTGATGAGTACCGAGTAACTCAAAATGTATTTAGACTACAAGTAAGTGAAGAGTACTTGTACCCGAGTACCGCAAAGCTCTGTTTGTAGTTCATGTATTAGTCCGCCATGCCATACTTTATCCAAGGCTTTTTCGAAGCCAAATGGCTAGGCCTGTTGAATCCGTCTCTTATGGTCTTGTTGTAGTCTTGCTAGCATGACTGTCGCGTGTTCATATCTGTTCTTCCATATATTTGGAAAATTGCTAAAGCATGCATAGTAAATTGTTGTAAGCTTTCCGATTGTTTCAGATGGTAGACTTTTGAGATTTTTTTTAGTAATTTTATCGAAATCAGGGGCTTTTTTAGTTTTTTATGTCAGTTATTTCCTTTTGTTGTTATCGCTATGTTTCTGCATGTATTTGTGTCTATTTGTCTTGAGATTCCATTGTATGTCCGAATCATAGTCTAGGAATCTGTTTTCGGTAAATTGAATTTCAAGGGAGTCAGCGAAATCCTC